TATTTTTATTTTTTTATTTACTTTTATTTATTTTTTTAATTATAATTATTTTTATTTATATTTTATTTATTTGTATTTATTTTGATTTATTTTCTTTTACTTTTATCTTTTTATTTATTTTTGTTTAATTTTATTTATTTTTTATTTTTTTAATATTTTTATTTAGTTCTTTTTTGTTTTTATTTTTATTTATTTATTTAATGGAACTTCAAGTGTGGAGTGTAGGAATGTCGTTTTTATTAGTTCACTCCTCATATTTTTCATGATAAGTTTACTTCAAAATTTATTTTATTATATAAATTTGTAAAATATATTGAAAATTTCTAAATTAAAAAAATAATTTTTCCTAAAAGAAATGTACAACTTTCTGAGTAAATAATAAAAAGAAATTACAAAATCATTGAGTTTTCAGCTTGCTATGATTTTTCCAAGCCATATATATCTCCTCCTAATTTCTAACCACCCTAACTCTGTCTGTTTTAATAATAGCAAAAAATGTCAAATATCGTTTTTATGTAAAACTTTATTCTTTACAATTTTTATTTAAAACTTTTTTTATAGCACCTACCGTTTTTAAATAACCTTAAAAAAAATACTTTATTTTCTTGTTTTTTGACATTTGCCAGTGTCTAAAAAACAAAATTTTTTTACTTATCATTTTCAAATACTCTAAAGTGACTTATATCAAAAGTTCCTGTATTTCCTCCAAAATTTTGATTTAAAGGTCTATTTAATTGGACTATTACTCGAAATTGTTCTTAATAAAAATTGTAAAGCATAAAGTTTTACATAAAAATTATATTTGACATTTTTTGGTGTTAGGTGAGTTAGGGTGGTTAGAAATTAAAGGGGATATATATAGCTTGGAAAAATCATAGCGAGCTGAAAACTCAATGATTTTGTAGTTTCTTTTTATTATTTACTCAGAAAATTATAAATTTCTTTTAAGAAAAATTTTTTTTTTTTGTTTTTATAAGTTATGACAATTTTAATATAGAAATTTTCAATTAATTGTACGAATTTATATAGTAAATTTTGAAGTAAATTTATCAGCTTGACTGACATGAAAAATATAAGTAGTGAACTAATAAAAACGACATAGCGACAGTTTGGTCCCCTCTTGAATTTAAAAAAATATATAAATATAAGTAAATAAAAATAAATATATAAATCAAATTAAACAAAAATAAATAAAAAGATAAAAGTAAAAGAAAATAAATAAAAATAAATACAAATAAATAAAATATAAATAAAAATAAAAAAAATTAAATAAAAACAAAAAAATAAATACAAATAAGTAAAAATAAATAAAAAAAAAATAAACAAAAATAAATAAAATTAATTAAAACTAAAAAAAATATTAATAAAAAAAAATTAAAATCAAATATAAATAAAAATAATTATAATTAAAAAAAATAAATAAAAACAAATAAAAATAAAAAAAAATAAATGATAATAAATGAAAAGATAAGTGTAAAAAAATAAAAAAAATAAAATAATTAAAAAAAAAATTAAAAAAAAATTAATTAAAAAAATAAACAAAAAATTTAATTAAACAAAAATAAAAATAATTAAAACTAATAAATAAATAAAAATAAATGAAAATAAATAAAATTAAACAAAAATAAATGAAAAGATATGGGTAAAAGAAAATAAATGAAAGATATGGGTAAAAGAAAATAAATGAAAGATATGGGTAAAAGAAAATAAAAAAAAAATAAAAATATATAAAAATTAATAAAAATAAATTAAAAATAAAATAAAATTAAAAAATATTCAAATATTTTTTATTTTTATATATTTTTATTTATTTTTATTTATTTTTATTAATTTTTATTAATTTTTATTAATTTTTATTAATTTTTATTAATTTTTATTTATTTTTATTAATTTTTATTTATTTTTATTAATTTTTATTAATTTTTATTAATTTTTATTTATTTTTATTTATTTTTATTTATTTTTATTTATTTTTATTTATTTTTATTTATTTTTATTTATTTTTATTATTTTTATTTATTTTTATTTATTTTTATTTATTTTTATTTATTTTTATTTATTTTTATTTATTTTTATTTATTTTTATTTATTTTTATTTATTTTTATTTATTTTTATTTATTTTTATTTATTTTTATTTATTTTTATTTATTTTTATTTATTTTTATTTATTTTTATTTATTTTTATTTATTTTTATTTATTTTTATTTATTTTTATTTATTTTTATTTATTTTTATTTATTTTTATTTATTTTTATTTATTTTTATTTATTTTTATTTATTTTTATTTATTTTTATTTATTTTTATTTATTTTTATTTATTTTTATTTATTTTTATTTATTTTTATTTATTTTTAATTATTTTTATTTATTTTTGTTTATTTAAATTTTTTGTTTATTTTTTAAATTAGTTTCTTATTTTTATTTTTATTTATTTAAATTTTTTGTTTATTTTTTAAATTAGTTTCTTATTTTTATTTTTTTATTTACTTTTATTTATTTTTTTAATTATAATTATTTTTATTTATATTTTATTTATTTGTATTTATTTTGATTTATTTTCTTTTACTTTTATCTTTTTATTTATTTTTGTTTAATTTTATTTATTTTTTATTTTTTTAATATTTTTATTTAGTTCTTTTTTGTTTTTATTTTTATTTATTTATTTAATGGAACTTCAAGTGTGGAGTGTAGGAATGTCGTTTTTATTAGTTCACTCCTCATATTTTTCATGATAAGTTTACTTCAAAATTTATTTTATTATATAAATTTGTAAAATATATTGAAAATTTCTAAATTAAAAAAATAATTTTTCCTAAAAGAAATGTACAACTTTCTGAGTAAATAATAAAAAGAAATTACAAAATCATTGAGTTTTCAGCTTGCTATGATTTTTCCAAGCCATATATATCTCCTCCTAATTTCTAACCACCCTAACTCTGTCTGTTTTAATAATAGCAAAAAATGTCAAATATCGTTTTTATGTAAAACTTTATTCTTTACAATTTTTATTTAAAACTTTTTTTATAGCACCTACCGTTTTTAAATAACCTTAAAAAAAATACTTTATTTTCTTGTTTTTTGACATTTGCCAGTGCCTAAAAAACAAAATTTTTTTACTTATCATTTTCAAATACTCTAAAGTGACTTATATCAAAAGTTCCTGTATTTCCTCCAAAATTTTGATTTAAAGGTCTATTTAATTGGACTATTACTCGAAATTGTTATTAACATCTATAAAATAAATTTGTATGCCAATGTATCCTCCACTTCAGTGAGATCTGCGGCAAACCTTTCAATTTATGTGTATAAAGTGGGAGAACTGGCAAAAGCCTTTCCAACTTTTACTTCTGCTATATCTGGCATGAAATGTAGCTCTGTCACCGTTCATAAGAGAGGCAGCCAACACTTATTTCCCAAAGCCTTCAGTCTACTTATTTTATGAATGATGCTTACACATTGCACAGTTAAAATGAGGAAATTATAGGTTATATGTTTAATAGTGTAAACTCAAATCAATCTATTGTAAAACCAACTCCTAGAAATATGTGAAATAAAATTGGATGATAAAATAATTCCGATGGTAATTGGTCTAAATAGGTATTTGTATTAATAAAAAAAAATGTGTCATATGAATAAAATATTGTTTCTTTTGAATAATAGCTTCAATTATCTCTTAATATAATAATGTATAACAATCTACAGTTGGTAATAAATTGACCTAAATTGTTTAGTAGTTGATGGAACTTTAGCCACTGGCACTATTGCACTAATCAAAAAGTATTTATCCACTAATTATTACTGTATTTACCATACTTAATTAAGGGATAACAACTGACCACACACATCCCATCTTTAAGAAGCTATTACTTGATCTTTTGTTTTGGCTGATTAAAATTTTGAATTAAATCTTTGTTAGATCTCACAGCAAGGTCACAGATAGCATTACTGCTATAATAATTGAGTGGTTCGGTGCCAGTTTCCTAAACAATTTATTAAAAGTGAGTAACTGGTGATTAAAGCACTTTACCTGTGTCTATTAGACATAAATGCCTAATCTTTAGGTATAGATGGTGGCACTGAAAATGAATAATTTTAAGAAATAGACAACTTTGGAATGCACAGAAATAATTTTAAAATAATATACCAAGACTGGTTATTTTGAAATTATTAAAAGTGGGTAAATAGAAATCAAAGCACTTCTCCTGGTTGTACTAGAAACAACAACTTTAAGTATAGATGGGGGCACAGAAAACAAATAATTTTAAGGAATAGGCATCTTTGGCATGCACAGATACCAATTAAATTTGTTAGTTAGGCCACTGGCAATGAACCACTCAATTATAACATTATTTGTATTCTACAAACCTGTTTGCTTTCAAAATTCATCCTCTCTAGTGCCAAATTTAATTTTCTGTCCAAATCATTGTTTCATTGTTTGTCCACATCTTTTTACTGTATTGTATATAATAGCAATGATTAAATAAATATTCAATGATTCAATTTGGTCTTAAAGAAACAATTTAAAAGGATCAAAAATCATGGATTACATTAATGATGGGTGGCACCTGGATAATACCATCAGTACAAACTCAATAATTGGGAACTTACAAAAGTGCTTATCAGTGTATGTATTGAAACCAGGCATAGAAATAGGCGCCGTCACTGCCTTCAGTCAATAAAAAACACTCAATGTCACTTCCTAGTTCATCATTAATCAATAACAAAATAAAAATAATAAATATAGAAATTTTGCAAACTTAAAATCGTGTTAAGTCACTACAAGTAGAAAAACAAATTAATAATATATTTTAAATAATCAAAAAAATTTATTACCCAAAATTAAACGCATTTTTTTTTAAGGAAACATCAAGCAATATGGCGTCACCCAAAAATAACTCATACCATTGAACCGGCATTTATTTCAAACAAAAAAAAAACAAATAAATAAGGTCATGCCGAAAATACTTTATTCTCAAATAGAATTTATGAATTTACTTACCTATTTCAAAGATTTAAAAGGAAATCAATCATTACAAGGTCGTCCATTTTCAATCACAAAAATTTACGGGACGGGTGTTGCTTCACACAAACTAAGAATAGTTATTGTATTAACATCAACAATATATTTCTTGCTGCAATAATACAGATTTAAAGTAGGAATTATTAAATATTACACTATTTAGCACAATCTTCGTACAGGTATAATAATTTTCTACCAAAGTATAAAATCACTTTAACAAAACCTTGACTGACTGAAATGTAAAAATTGAGAGGATGTGACGAAACAGGAAATAGAGGGCGCTTCTACGATTTAATCTTCTTTTTTCTTTGGGTCTTTTACTAAGTGAGACAGGCCTCGGCGAGTAGGGCTATTCAGTAACCATTTTAAAATTTTAATAGTTTTTAATCAATTATAATAAAAATGCTTCTTTATAAAAGATAAAATATGTATTTTTGTCTTTAAGTTATAATGGTATTAGATAAATAAAAGTAACATTTTTACAATACAATCTATTATTAGTTAAATATTTATTTTTCTCCCAAATGTTCATCAAAATAATCAGTATAAGACGTAATTAGATCGTCCATTTTGTAACCCTGCGACGTTTCGCATAATATTTTAGTCGTCCTCATGATATTTCCTACAGTCATGTGGAAATAAGCGTTACCTGAAGACCAGTTACTTAGCTCAGAATACTCGTGAGTTGCCAAGATGTCCTAAAAACGAAAACAGTTGTTTTTTAGTTATTTATATTAAAAGCTCATGAACGAAATGGAAATAACATAATTGATCTTACTTTTGTCTGCGGGTGGATAATATTAACTCCTTTTCTATTGATGGCGATAATAATGACATCTGGATAAGTAGGCACGGTGGTCTGTTTAACCTCGAAGAAAGCAGATCCAAAAGTTGGCCATTTGTACGTAAATTTCAAGAATTCTGTCTTCGCTTTTTCCGCGGAAATCTTCGTCATCTTAAACTCCGAAACGATGCTCCTCTTCCACTCCGAAGAACTTGCCGCTTTGATAATATCAGCGGGAATAATATCTTTGAAATTATGTTGAAGAGTCGATATAGCTTCCGAATCATTATCCCCGAATCTAGCTCTTAAAATCAAAGCTGCTAACTTGATCGCATCTTGCTTACTACATTTGTGATAACCCTTCAGATACTTGGGCAATTCTTGGTGGTAATGGAAGATCTGGTCAGCGTAGTGGTCTTTTTCGGGTACCATACCCACCCAAAGTTTCTTCATGAAGAAGATTTGGTACTGAGCTTGAACCTGCGTTGTGCCTAAAATCAACATAAAAACTCAAGCATCCCTATATAAACAAATTTAAAAATTGATACGTACTTCCCCAGCTCGGCTTCGTTTGTCGAATCCATTGAATAAGTTCGTTCAAAAAGTCGTAGAAGAACTGCCCTTGCGGTATAGAGAACACTTTGTCTGCTATGGCGACGAATAAACTGAAACCGTCTGTCGATTTTAATTCCAATCTGGTACCAATAGTTTTACAAAGATCCAATGCTCTTGTCATAGAATCTACTTCAAACGCTTCATCTGTATCATCAGGGAAGTAGATTTTGTGGAAGATTTCCATGCTCTTGTGCTGTATCGCCTCGACTTCGATTGTGTAGGGTGGGAATTTTCTTGGTCCGACCTAAATAAACCAAAACGTCATATATCAACACTAATAAAAGGTATCCAAATTAAATAAGAAAAAGAACTTATATACTTACTTTTTGAGCTTTCTGTAGCCTCTTCAAGCAGTGTTCAACGAAAGGATGTGTCCTGGACTTCAAGAATTTCTGTAATTCCCCGCATAATTTATCACTAGGCGTGTACAATCCAGTAATCAAATACATCAACTCCCAACCTTTCTCTTCGCTCATTGACAGCCTATTGAAAGTCAGTTGCTTCATAATTTGACAGTAAACTTCGTCCTTTAGCAAATCGTTTTTGAGAGGCGATTCGAATATCTGATCGGTGTACTCACTGCTGTATTTCACTTTAGGTGCCGGTAAATCACCCATATATTTCAAAATAGCCGAAAAGATGTTGCAGGCTTCTTTGCTGGTATTATCGTCGCTGAGTAGTCTCTTCAACAACGGTTGATAGATCGGTTCGTTCGAGTATTTCCATAACTCTTCTCTAGACGTCCTTCTCGCTGCAGTTAGAAGTGATGTTTTGTTAGCTGAAACCGTTTTTCCCGCTCTGAAGTTATCTTCGGCGTAATTCGACAAAGTGTACAATTTCATTCGTTGAACAGTGGTGATTACCTAAAAAAAAACAAGTTAATTCGTCTTTAATGTCATTTACTGAAAATTAACAACATTTATTTTGTTAATTTTTAATTTAAACTAGTTTTTTACCTTTTCTTGTTGTTTTTCTACAACGACTCCGTCTTTCTTGAAGCATTGCAAAATGTCAGATGGCGGTGGTGTTAATGTTGGTAGAATATAAACGTTTTCTGTTAGGAAATCTCCATTTTTACCACGACATTCGCCGTAACCCCACGTGGCTGTCATTAGTTTCTCTCCATTCAAACCGTTCTTGAGAATGATAAGATCACCTTTGCGAAGTACCAAGAAAGATTCTGCGCCTAAAAATGTATTACATCTTTGTTAATTTTTTTTAAAAAGAAAAGAACAAATAATTATTTAGTTTAATCTTCAGCCTGACTAATTATCATATGGCACTTTATTTACCTTGTTGGCAATCCTGCGTTGCCACGCAATATACCGATCTTTTCTTCAATCCATCCACTATGTATTGTAACAAACCAGAAAGACATTTCGCGTCCAAGGTGTGGAAACCGTACTCCTCCCGAGCCACGGTATTGAACTTAAACACCATCATTTGCTGTTTGTTCTCGTAAGTGACAAACGACAGATCAGCGAACGTCAGTTCCATGTGTATTTGTTCTTCGTCATCAATTAGGAACATTCCTGTACTGTTTACAGCAATTATCATTTTGTTTTTAGGTAATTTTGGTCCCTCCGTTTGAACTGCTTCGAAGAATTTTGAAAATAATATCGGCCACGTGATCTGAGCATATTTGACTAAAGTCTCTTTGGCTTGAATGGTTGGTAGTTTTTTCTGTACACAAGTCAAGTTTATAAAAGCCGTTTGGATCTTATGTTCCCAGTTGGATAAATCATTTTGGGACCTCTTTACTAAATATGTAGGCATGTACTCTCCGATTCTCGTATGTAGAACGTTTTTATTCATTTGGGTGCCATTTTCGACGTAGTACTGTATGGCAATCAGCACGGCAACATCTCCTTCTTCAGTACAACGATATTCCCCATGTTTTACACCCCGCACAATTTGATGGTAGATCAAATTGGTCGCTACAGAGTCTTCAGCAGCGTTATGCCACGGTGTGAAAATTTCTTTACGCAAAAACAGGCGCCAAGGAGAATTTCTTTCTTGTTGACCCTAAAAAGTTTTTCAAAACCAGATAGCATCATTACTAAGTCGGATAACTTACCTGTTCTTTAGAGTACTGTTCACACTGTGATATAGCGTCCATAATATGGTCCTTTTCACTTCCTAGCGACATAACTTTATCGTCTAAGGCTACGAAAATCGAAAAGCCAAAAGTATCTTTGAGGTTTAATGTATTGGCGATTTGAGTCAAGATTTCTTCAGATGTAGTAGCTGAATCCGCCTAAAATGGTAAGTTTTTATTTATATTACGTCAACATATTAGAAGAAACCGTTAGTCTTCAGTCCGACAAAGCGTTTAGTCCGTGATATTTATTTACCTCGACAGTGTGATTAGTTCCATCCATCAGTTTGACTTCTAAATGAATGGGTTCCTTGTTTTTAGTAGCCATTAATTCCAACCAGCTGGGCGGTTGTGTTCTTGTACCATTGTAGAACATTCTATTAAGCCTTCCCTCGCAATACGGAGCGTATCCTGGTGGTCCTGATCTGATAAAAGATCGTAAATAATTGGTGAACCTGTCCGAAGGGGGGAAGCATCCAATGCATAGTGACAGAAGAATCCAACCACGGGCGTATGATGATTTTATATAGTTGTTGGTAAGCTGTTTGCAGATCATCGCGAAAATTTCGTCTCTAAGGAAGACAAACTATTTTAAAAACAATTTAAAGGATAAGTTAGATAGTGTTACCGCATTTCTGGACGGAGAATACCATGAGCGATGATGAAATGCAATTTTTCTAAATTGTTTGTTCGTCTGCGATGCAACCATTCATCGTATCGAGCAACAGCGAAACTGTCTTCGACCAGACCCTTCCTTACGTCTTCAAGTAATTTGTTCTTTCTTTTGAGCGTCATTGATATGAGTTTCTTTCTGTCGGATTTTTTCATTGATGAGTACTTCTTTTCTTCTTCTAAAATTTCCTGTAAATTTATAGTATGTGTAACTTTAGATAAATATTCTCTATGAATGACACATATTAACCAAAAAAACTTTTCACAATGACAAAAAGAGTCTCAAGAGGATATAGAGCATTGACCAAGTCATAATATGTCCTATAGAATCGCAGTGGAGCCTAACCTCAGATAAGAAAGAACTCATGACGTACAAATTAAGAGTCAAAACATTTTTGTGTGAACTTCAGCGACTTCCTACGTACCCGGTATTCCTTTCTATTAGTAAAACTCCTGCTCAACGTCTCAGAAACAATATTCATGATCGGCTCGTTAGCCTTTTGATTGTCATCGTATTTTGGTTCCGGGTAATCCCCCATAAATCTGAGTATGGTAATCCAAATTGCCTGCGCAGCGATGGTGTCGTCAGGCGTGGGTAAGTAATGCAAAGATTCTTTTAGCGGTTTCTTTGAGAATTGATAGTTGGCAGTACTGGAAAAATAGGTGGCAGCGTATTTTCTGAAACTGTACTCGCTAAGGTCTTCTTGCTTGTCGTTCATTTGTGCACCAATGCTTATGTGGACTTTAGGAATAATCTGGAAAAAAAATTAACGAGTAATATGTAGATAACAATAATGTACAGTACTGATTACTTAAGTAACCTATGAATAAATGCATAGGAAGCAATAAGTGAAACTTAATCACTCACCGCTTCTCTAGTCTCATTCTCTTTATTACTAATCGAAATGGTATCATCTTTAAATATATCATCAAAAGCGTCATCCACAATGCGATTAGCTCTGTTATCTTCGTCTTCCTTTTCCTTAAGTTTGGCCTCGTATTCGACATTCAATTGCGCCAATTTCGCCTTCATCCTAGCTTCAGCTTCGACCTTGTAATTCTTGACGCCCTGCTTTTGAAGTTCCTTCTCGTCTACCCTTCTTTGCCTAACTGCGGCGTAAATTTGACCGAATTGTCCCTTTGTTCTTGTCAAATGTCTAAAACCGATCAAAATTTTCTTTTTTAAAGATTTATAATGCCATCGCATCAAACAGCTTCTGGCCGATTAATCGTTAATATGTCATACACGTTAATGTTACTTATTTAAAGCTATAAGGTCATAAATACTTTGAAATACTTATAGAAGCCATTATAATTATGTTAAAAAAATGTGAAATATTACCCTTTGCATCTAGCTTGAATGATTGTAATGTTCTTCTTGATTCTAAACAAGGCATGAGTGAGTTGTCTCGATACTATGCACGCTTGCAACCGTTTGTAACCATTTCGCATGACTAGGTACCTCTTCCTGTAGCCTCTAGCTCTGAAATGTTTCTGAATCACTAGAGCGGCATGTTTCAGTTTCTGATATCTTCTTCTGTACACCCATCCTCTGATGGCACGTTGGAGAACTAGAAAAACAAATACACTAATGATTTTTAGAAAGAGGATAATTTCCAAACTAGCTCCAGCCTGATTATCTGAAAAGATCTTTATAGTATTGTTAGCAAACATCAACCATTTTTGCTTGGAAGATCGTGGCAAAAGTACTTAGGTTTATTGTTGTCAACTCTTGGCTCTATGCCGAATACTACCGCTGCTAATTCCGCTGGTGCTTCCGCTGCTACTCCTTTTTTAGTTTTGGAATCGTCCATGTACTGTGAATTTATTGTCTGGGAAAGAGAAATATCCCCCTACTCCAGTTCACTTTATCAGGAATAATTATTCTGTATGTCTTTTCTATGTGCTATCAGGAAACTAGCAGTTGTTCCTTTCATTGACTGCCCTCCGTTAGGAGTCTGTAAGAGACCATCCTAGCCTCCCTTTCCACCGAAAGATATGCAACGTATAATTATCTTACCTTTCACGGAATTATCCAAAACTTCACTCCGTTTGAGCTCCAAATGTTCGTTTTCGTGCTGCTTCAAGAAGATTTTCGTATTACCCAACTGGAAATGTGTTTCGTCCTTGAACACTTCGCTCAAAATTTTCTCGGCGGAATTTTTGCAGTCTCCTTTGGTTGAAGGTTTGATGTTTTTGCCCAAATATCGAAAACGGTCCACGAATTCGATGTAGCTGTATCGGATAGGATATCCGGCTTGGCGGATTTTAGCTGTCTCCATCATGCCGGAGTAGCGCAGCTGACGGATGCAGAGACCTTTGTCGAAATCCTATAAAATCGTTTATTGAACTATAAATTTGAAATAAGTTGAATTTAAAACCAGCAAATATTAAAAAACAAACATGTACCACTGTTAAGCTGCTGACTTTTCTCTAATGGTGCAGGCTTCAGGTACCTACTTACTTGTGGTCTTTTGTGATGATTGGGCTTAATGCATCTCACGAAAAACGGATGGCATGTTCCCAAATTCTTCATGAGTATTTCTAAGGATGATCTGAATTGTGAAGATAACGATTTTTTTAATTTAGAATCTTGTTCGGTTTTGAACAAGTTTCTGAATAAGTCATATTGCGAACCGAGCATCAAATTTCGTAAATCTTGACTAAACGAGTCTCTGTTTTTATCCAGAAAACCTATAAAATTAAGACAGATACTATTTTTAGAAACAAATTAGTTTTATTTTCATTAAAATTACCTTCTACGTCATAAAAAACTTCTCCCGCGAAGTGTCTGATTCCGAAAGCTGGAGTCATTTCGCTTTTTGGTTTGGAATAAAACTCGTTTTTCCCGTGCTGTTTGTGCAATTTTGCCAGTAACGAAAAATCTGTACCTTTAGGAAACTTGGATTCCTCATCTATCAGCCCGAATATGTTCAATGGTCTCATACCCAATAAGTCCAAAATGGTCTGATTATCAACGAAAGTAATATTATCCCAACGTATACCTTCCTTCCTGTAATATTCCTGTTCCAATTTGAAGATATGTTGCACAAAAAATTGCTGCAGATTTTCATTAGCATAGTTAATACAAATTTGTTCGAAGCTGTTGACCTTAAAATTCTCAAAACCGAAAATATCTAATACACCGATGCTGGATTTGTTTTGCATCTTATTTGTAGCAATAACTCCATTGATTTTTTCCACAATGAATATAAACAGCTGCCCATAGAGGCCTTTAACGAAGGCATGCCTTGAGTCGGAAGCTTGTTGTTTAGAAAACGTCGATGTAATCTGATCTCCTTGCGCTAGAATTATTTTTTTTGTTAATGCTTCACCTAAATCGAACTTGTTTACCCCTAGAAGCCTTGAAATCCTTTCGCCTTGGTTGGAATCTGCTAATTCAGAACTTTCTGAATGTGCTGAGGTTCCTGATTTGAATTTTAAGTTACCTAAATGAAAAAGCAAAAGATTTAAACTTAATAAAAGAACAAAAATACTCTATGAAAATTATTGATGATAACTGTGGTAAATGATGTCACACCAATAATATTAAGACAAATAATGTCTAATTCCTTTCAAATTTAATCTAGTACCAATAATAAGAACTGAAAAGTAAAATAACAAATTGGAATAACATAAAGAAGAATGACTAGATAAAAGTGATAGATGAACATTTAAAGTAATTAAAAAAAGTGATAATATAAAGTTATAAAGTGTAATTCTGGAAGGTTGAAAGTGACAGTTGATGGATTTAGTTTATAAGGAACGTTTATCAAAGGAATGAGCAGGCTTAGAAAGTGGAAGAGAATGAATAAGGAGATATTGATGAGCAAAATTTAGAAGAATCAAAGTTAATCAGTTACCTATTAAAGAAAAAGAAAAATGAGAAATATAATTCAACGATGGATATCTGATGAAAAAAATAGATAGATTGTAGAAAAATATGGGAATCAAATTAGAAGAAAATAGTAAGACAATTGATAAATTAGAAGAAGGAAGTATAAATAATGAAGAAGATATAAAAAAATTATAGACACAAACGTATAATACAAAGAAGAAGGTTTAGAGACGTAAAAAACATTGAAATTAACAATAAAATTAAAGAAGTAGAAGTTAACAAAAAAAGACATATTTAAAATATAGAAAAAAATGAATATGAATAAAATTAGTAAACGAAAAAGAAAAAATAAGTAATTAAAGTAGAAAATGAAAAACAAATCATAGAAAACAGAAACCAAATTAAAGAGAAAAATAGAAAACAAGATAAAAGAGAAAAGGATACGTAGAGAATTAGAAATAAGGAATTCAAAGCGATTGTGAACGATTTGAGAAAAAAAGAAGTAAATAAGGAATACATATTTAAAACAGACGCGAAAGGAAAAGTAGAATGGATAGAAAATAATTAAAATCGGGAACTTACAGAAAAGGAAAGAGTGAGAGCAAAAATTAAAGAAAAGATATAAAATATATGGAAATTTTTTAAGATAAAAAATGATGTGACGTCAGATATTTTAGTTGTCAAAATTGAATGATGTGAATGGTGACGGCAAAGAATACCTACCTAAGAAGCGAAACAGAATGAGTTTTCGTATGTAGCAAAGCATGGGACTTAATACAGTGGGAAACGTATAAAAATTTATCAATTTTAGTTGTTTGGTTCATAAGAATTAAACACATACTAAAGTAACAATGACAGACAGAAAACTCTTACTATATGTTCATTAGTTAAAATAAATTATTAGACCTACGCTAACATACGGTGCAGTTGTCTGGGTACCAAAAATACAAAAATTGACAGCTATCCGCAAACTAGATCAAATTCAAATAACAGCATGTCTTAACATAGCAGGAGCCATGGAAATCGTTCTTAGTCTCACTCCCCTTGATATTCACATCAAGTAGGTTGCTCTAATGGCAATTACAGCCTCTGCACGGTTGGAATAGGATCTGATGTACGATCTGGTGAGGCGAGACGCCGTATGCAAGAGCGCTCTTTAAAATTTACAAACAACGCAATGTATTCTTTTTCATCTAATTACTACCTTGTTAAATACAACTACTTAACTTTACTGCAATTTTCACAAAACACTTATAATAATATACCAAACGTTGCTATACATAAATTGACAGCTATATTTAACGTTAGACCACCTCTAAAACACTGAGAAAACTAGGCAGTTTTTTGTCCAAAAATCGCCCATTTAGTTTCGCTTCTTGGGTAGGTATTCTTTGGTTACGGTCATATTGGGAAGCTAAATTGTTATTAAGTCAAATTGTGTTTTTCTGTTGGTTTACAGATGGTACAAAATAGACAGATACAGAAGACAAACAAGTATATTTTTTGATATTATGGAATGAGAGAAAATGAAATTGACAGAAAGAAAGGTTACCTAAATGCAGGATGGCTGCTAGTAACCTCAGAATGTCCTCCACTTCTCTATCTGTGAAATTTAACACTTTAAAGGCTGCTAAGATGTTGGACCATTCTTTTTCCTCGCTTCTCCCATCACAGGTGAAGGTTTTCCCACTTTTTAAGTATTCGTATACTTCAGCGTTGCCCAATTCTAACCTCTTTTTATGTTCTTTGGTCATTCCGGCTAGCATGCTGTAGAAAATATGATAGTTTCTCTCTCCATCGCCTTGTGATATTATTCTACTTTTTTCTAGGAGGTATTGCTCGATTTGAGCGCCTTCGATGCTGCCGGATTTGTTGAATTTGATATCGATGTATTTGCCGAAACGTGAGGAATTGTCATTTCTGACGGTTTTGGCGTTGCCGAAAGCTTCTAGAATCGGATTCGCTTCAAGGATTTGTTGTTCAATCCAAGTGTGTTGGGCGCTGGTCGAAGCTAGGTATTGGAGAATTAATTTGGTGCTTTCTGTTTTTCCAGCACCGCTTTCACCACTGTAGGCAGTAAGAAATATAGTTAAAAGTTAAATAACATGAATTAAATGATGGTATAATGAAAATATGTTTTTCGAAAAACAACTTTTCACATGATTGTAATTTATGAATCGTAAGGTGGTCGTAAAAGAAGTTTGAAACCAAATTTTAGAAATCTCTCTTCCTTGTCATTTTTTAATCGATTTTCCACGAGAAGTGTGAGTCGTAGAATAAAATGTTTCATACAAAAGTTGTAGTTGGATAATATTTTCTACAATTTACCTCATCGAGTCATTATGATACGATGATAAATACAAAAAGTAGAGGGCGTCAAAGTTCCCAAAAAATAAGTTTTTTCGCTTTTTCGACACAAAAATATTTTTTAGGAAAAGAATTACCCTTTAAAACAATATTTAGTATAATATATTTTTTGAAACATAATGCAAACATGTTTTAAACTAACCTGATTACGATACATTGATCTGTTTTCGTAGTTTTCATATTATTGTAGCTGTTATCACCAACGGCGAATATATGCGCAGGTACTTCTTCCATTTTTTTGTTTCTGTAGCTATTTATCACTGCGTGAGTGTATATTGGTAAAATTTCGTACGGGTTTATGGCTACCAACATTGCTCCTGTATACGTCTAAAATTCAAGAAATAAATCAGCCCAATTGCAAGCCACGAGGTGGGAAGAGTTTCATTCCTGGCGTGAGATTAGTTAGATCACCGAGACGCGAAGCGTCGAGGTTAGCTATGATCTCGAGATAGGAATGAAATTTCCTACCGAGGTTTGTATACTATTTTATTTACAACCATCATATTTCGATCAAAGTTAATAAATCTCTGTTTCGTTCTGAACATACCTAAAATATTACATTTAACGACAAATTACCAAGCGCGCGGTTTTCTCAGAATAATCAAGTAAATATATTGTTACTGTGATTACGGGGTAAACAACTGTTACCAATATAAATAAATGTCAGATAAAGCCGGATATTAAATTCGCGAATAATAAATATCAATAAGTAGTTTGTTGTATTTTAGTTCATTGTTGTTTTTTATTGTTTGCCATTAAAAAGGTATTATAAAATTTGTCAAAAAAATGTGTTATTTTTTTTTAATATAAAAAATATTCATCTAGAACAGATGAGGGAAGAGAGTGAGGGCGGGAAGTGAGGGCGGGAAGTGAGGGCGGAAAGTGTGTACGGGAAGTGAGGGCGGGAAGTAGAGGTGTGTAATATGACACTTCCCAACCTTCAATGACGTTAGTAATGACAACATTACATATATGGTTGTAAATAAAAAATATTTACAAATAGTAGATCAATTTTGTTTACAAAACACGAATTGCAGGCACTCACGTTGTTATCCAACTTAGTTACCAAATTATTACGAGAAAGTACTTGTTTTCTGACTATAATTCGGAATTTACTCAAGAATTAATAATGCTCTAAAACGCACAAAAGGCTTTCAAAATTACATTAAAGAGGTTTGCATTCTTAATGTTAGTTATTATAAGTTTCTCTTGTCTTTATTGAACAATTATAGGAAGGTGATTTACAAGAAATTGCATAATTTATTTTGCAGTATGGCAACACAGTAAAGCAGGCATCATAGTCGTACGACTTTCATTCATAACATGCACGCTTGTTCGCAAATGCCATCTTCACTCAATTTAGTAGGGCGTCTCGCTCTATATGTATATGCGGCAGCCACAAGAATAATTAATAACCAAAAGGATATCTCCGATCACATGATCTTAGAGGGGTCGTGACCTTCAAGCACACCTACCCCGATATTCTACACCGAAACTTTCAGTGCAGTAGCGACCGGCACGGCGGTGGTATTGAAATCGTGAATTTATAATTATTAGTATTCTGTTGTTTCTGTTATTTTACTTAAATATTTTTATCGTTGACTATTTTCTGATTTTGTTGTGCTTTAATGAGAGTGTGAGTTATGGAAGAAGACAAAAAAAAGCTGGATTTGTTTGTAGTTATAAAGACTGCAAAAATAAATCTTATATCGGTGCACATTCATTTTACAGATTTCCTCAAGATGTTGAAAGGTAATATAAATAAAGTATAATATATAAGTCAAATACAGGTTGTTTTAAATTAGCTGTTACTTCGGGATATTTTCTGTATCTTTAATCTGAGGGAGGGTGGGTTGCCCCACAGTACTTAGGGTATATCTTAATAATAGTATATTATGCAACGATCATGTGTATTAATAGCCATTACATAAGAGCTGCATACCCTATTTTTTCTACGACCAAGAACCAGTTATTTAATCGAAAATAGATTAATTTAAAAAATTATAATACTTTTAATCCCTCAAAACCTTAGATAATCTAATTTGTTATGACTACTTGTTGAGACAACTAAATAATAAATCTTTTTTTATTTCCCAAAAGTGTTTCGGATTTTTTCCGCTATAGCCTTTGGACTTTCTCTTTTTATTATGATAGCAATTTTGGGTATTCTCTCACATATCAGTTTTATGTTTAATATTCAGTTGTGTTTTTAAAATGGAGTAACGAGTATTTCAATTTGGTTGAGAGTTGTTCAAAGCAATACATTTTATACCTTCAATTTCGAGTAGTGTACATGGAACATTATCGTTGCTGGACATCTTTTTTCAAATTTAAAATACCTAGATATTTCAAAATCGAAGATCTAAACTGACACAGAACATAAATCTTCCAGAAACTGTCAACTGTAACTAAAAAAATGAAGTTTATAACAGGTTTTAAAATAACAATTAGCTCCATTCTTCTTTTATGGGATTTTCTTAAAACAAAAAACGTTAAGTTTCTTTTTACTAGACGTTTAAACCAAGGTCCGTTAGAAAATTTGTTTGGTCTTATGAGACAGCAAAATAGTAATTGTACTAATACAATAGCCATTCAATTTCAAAGAACCTTTAGAAAGTTGTTCTGTGTAAAGCTACTCAATTCAGGAACTCAAAACTGCGAGAATGACATGGATAATATGCTTCTGCGAGTATCTGATGTCATTAAAGAGGATACAAATCACATACTTTGATACAAATTCGTAGCTCATACACATCCCCTTACATCAAATTTGACAGAAATTGATAACAGCAAAAAGAGTCCACGTTAGAAACGAATTTAGAAAGGTATTTTGTGGGTTACCTAATGAAAAAATGCCAATCTATACATTCTTGTACAATTTGCGAGAAATATTCAAAAGCCTATCAAAATTTGGACGATACATCTTTATTTTGTTACTATAAAGCTTATAACAGCTCCAATTTAGATTTATTTGGTAACTTAAACATGTCACACAATGATTTTGTAAAATGTATCTCCTTTTTAGAGGTAATATTTCAAATAAATTTTGAAACTATTATTATACACAAAAATGTAATAGATACGTTTCAAAGTATTTGTAGAAATACAAGTTTTTCACATCCATGTGAAAAATTTCCACATAATTATTTAATAAAATTATTCGGTAGAGTAGGATTATTTTATACTCTTAAATGTATTAACCTAAATTTTAAACTAAAAAAGACAAAAAGGTTGTCATTTGGAAAGATAAGTAAATATTTTTTATATATATATAAATCTTTTACTTACCTATATTTGTAATGTAAGAACTTAAAAAATAAATCGATAGCTACCCAATTTTTTTTTAATTTCCTGACCTTTTTTTCGGTGCGCCTATGGAATACAAGTAATAATTAAAAGACGAGGTCATAGCTCGTCGGCATCAACTACAAAGGAAAACGCTAGTTCAGTGATAATGTAATTATGGTTCCACTGATAATTAAAGTGACAGTATATTTTTTGAGTGCGTTTTGTTCATTTTGTTTACCTAAATTATATCGTTTTTTTTTTTTTCACTTTTATAAATATACAGGGTGTTTCATAATATATGCGCAGGAATTCAGGACGTGATAGCTCGTCCAAAAATATGAAAAAACGTTTCTATTAACTTACCCTCTAAAATGCACCATTTTCGGGATACAGAGTGTTGAAATTGAAAAAAAAAATTCTACGCCACTGGAAAAAGTACGGTTTGAGACGGCCATTTAAACCGCCAATATTTTCTACACAAACAAGGTACTCTTGGTCATACGCTCTAAAGTCGACCGTTTTCGAGAAAACTCAAATTTTGTTTCATCAAGTAGGTTTTAAATTTCAAAATTTGATTTTTCTTGAAAACGGTCGAAAGGAACGGCTATTATTATTATTTGCCGTGGCGCTCCGGGACGACTTAAAGATGATTGATGGTGCCATTTGACTTACAGGTGAGGAAACCCGGAAAACCTCACCCACCATCATCGAGACGGTAATGCATGGCGATTTTATAATCTGCATGTCATATCAACAGAAATTGAATTTCTATTAATACGGCACACATCAAATCCTAACCCGAACCATGCAATTTAATTAAAAATCCACATGGTCTGGCCTGGGATTCGAAGCCCAGCAGTCTCTGACTCATAAACTTGCCTATAAATAAATATAAGCGCGTTAGACCACTACACCACCGACCCGATCATCAAGGTCTTGGTATATTACCCTTGAATAAACTCGTTAGCTGAAGTAATCAACATTTTAAAATAAGTATCGAGCAATCCACCAACAAAAATCATACATTCAACAAGTTATAAAAATCTACAGTCCATTCCGCTTCCAGCTGACAGGAAGGATCTCTTATTTCGGTGATGAAAATTAAAAGAAAAATAAATCGACGTAATTTGAAAAGAGAAAAGAATTATCTAGTAGTTGTTTGTCGTTGGTACAACCTGTGGAAAACTTTCTACATTAATGCCTATATACTTACATAAATCAATTTTTCGTTGTATCTCTTGTGCAGATTTCTCAAAATGGCATACTCCTGTAAATCCCCCAAATTGATCATGTCCTCCACGCCGTTGATCGACGATATGTGCATAGCTTGTATCACCTGTTGGTTAGAAATGTAAGATTCTTTGCCATCGTCGTCCAAAATTCGTACTCTGGTGGCATCGACTCCAACAATCTTCCCTCCGATAAGAACGTCAAACTCATTGTTCGTGGGGAGTTTCACCCAAATATATTCCCCCTATAAGTGGTCATAAAAATAATGTTAATCATAGTGTAAGGGTTTATTTATTCTAAACTGTTCAGTTGAGAAAATAAGGGAAAAACTGCTTTCATCCGCCCTCATATTCACTCGTTAATAATTCAACCAATTGCTATATTATTATTATTATTATTATTATTATAACGGGGAGACCCCATCACTTATTTTTTATATTCATATAGCACAGTCATACAAACATTAGTCATACAGTTTTTAAATTAATGTAAGTATCTACTACATACTAAATTTGCAATTTACGTAGATACGTTTTTAAAATTTGGTACTTACCACAACCAGCCTTGGTTTGGTGGTCATTTTAAATATTTATTTCAATTATTTCCAAATAAATATTTACCCTATTGTAATAATTATATCAGGAAGAAACCCATTCTACCTATTTTTAAGATCACCTTCGTAGTTACCTATCAAACAATAATCTAGTTAAATGGATTAATGATAATTATTTAGATAATAAATATATCGATGAAAAAATGTTATCTGCTGATATAAAATATAATCATTATGTTTAGTAAGTTCCAAAATTAGGTGAAATATCATCAATCTTAGACAATTCACTGATTAACAAAAAAATCTTGGAATCCTCTCAAGTATAAGTACAAATTGCATTAAAAAGATTAGATTTTTAAATTTAATTTATTCGCCAGTGCTAAATTGCGCTATCTATTGTAAACAAATTGCATCAATAAAATATTTGAATTATAACTGTACCATCTATCGAGTTATTCGTAATATACAAATATTTTAGCTATTCGTTGCTAGATGGCACTACAAGCTGTGATATCAAAATTAATTTCCAGATTATTTATATCTTGAGGAATGACAGAAATGGGGTAAAAAAGAAACGTGAATTATTTTACACAGGAGCTGACCTCATAACAGCGTTGCCAGGTCTAGGGATTTTCCCCTTTTCTAGAAATTTTTCATGATGACAAAGGGAGAAGGGAGTTTTTGAAATATTCCAACTAATCTAGGGATTTCGGAAAATCTGACGCAGTCTTGAAAATAAAAGGTATTACTTTCTTACTAATCTTCATTCCCAAACGTCCAAAGCAAACACCAAATAATTTCTAAAGCAACTTATCGTCGCTGAGCTCGTAAGGACCGATTCCACCGTTGTGTTAAACGGAGATTAAAATGACGTTGTTAATGTAAAAATGTCATTTTAAACTTCGTTTAACACAACGTGGAATCATGGTGGAATCGAACCTAAACGACACAAATATCTAAACGGGGTTTAGGTGTTAATTTGATCAAAAAGCTGTCTGTGCTGGTACTCTGTGTCATGTAGAATTCTACTTATCGTTTTCTAATAGAAATCGATTACTTTCTTTTGTGGCACTCTGTGTAACATAGCGGAAAACCAACGAGTATATACTTACTACAGGATAACTAGTTTCATAAGAAACCACATTGCGATATTTCCCGTGCGGTTGATAACGTATTCATCACAAAAGAAAGTAATCGATTTCTATTGTAGAAAGCGATAAGTAGAATTCTACATGACACAGAGTTCCAGCCCTGCTGGGGTAGTATTCTCGAGTCACGAATATATGCTACGTTTGAGAATCCACATCGGATGCATTTTTTACATCTCGAGCGTTTTTTTATCCACATCGGACACATCTGTCCATTACATTTACGTATACTGAATCACGTGATCAAAGATTTTTTACATCTCAGATGCATCCGATGTGGATTCTCAAACGCGGCAATAGATTCGCATGCGAGATTTATGATTTGTCTCACTTGGTTTTCGTTCAACAAAGTGAGACACATTGTAAAACACGTATGCAAATGTCGGTATTCGTGATTCGAGAATACTACCCCTGGCTTGAGATGCGAAAAGCTCATAACGCGCCGACCAATAGAATGTATATTATTACATTTTTCGCATCTCAAGCCAGACATTTTATATTAGATATTCTAGGGAAATCTAGGGATTTTTAAAACGAAATCTAGGGACGACAGAAACTTTCATCTGGCAACGCTGCACCTCATAATTCTCAGAAAAATATTGGTGAGCAAAGTGTCAAAAATCAAATATTTAAATTTTAAATAAATATGAAAAGTAAATATTGGTTTACAAAATACTTTCTGTAAAATTCATTAAATTTGAAATGAAACACTTGTGGATAATTGTATTATGGTAGGAGCTTTAAAATATAATTTAAGTAAAATTATGTTTAAAAAGACTCCAAAGTTAGGTTATGTATTGGTAATACTAATTTTTATTGGAAGTGTTGCTATATTATACCAAATTCAACTTATTAAAATACAGGATAAATTGGAACAAATAGGTAATCATTACGAAAACATAGGATGTTCTGTTATTAAGGATTGTTTTTTATGTAAATTTCAGAAGAAACTCAAAATCACTATGCTTTAACTGTGACTACAGAAAAACCTCTTTTGGAGGAGAAAGACTTAATTTTACTGTACAATCGAGTACCCAAGACTGGTTCTACTAGTTTTGTAGGCGTAGCTTATGATCTATGCAAGAAAAATAAGTTTCATGTTCTACATGTAAACATAACTGCAAATAGCCACACAGTAACATTGGAAAATCAATTAAAATTCGTACAAAATGTTACTAATTGGAAGAGCATGAAGCCAGCTCTGTATCATGGGCATTTTGCATTTTTCGATTTCTCAAAGTAAGTTGATTTTTTTATATTTAAAAAGTTTGATCAGATTTTAAAATGCTGTCTGTGTATTTTCAATTTTCACACACTACATCGGCACCTGTTAATATATACAACGAAGTTATATGAAATTATAGCAAAAAAATGGCATGAAGTTCTTAAAGTTACTTAATTTTTGTTAATCCTTTAAGTGACTAGAGACTGGGGGTTAATATTTTTTATTTATGTCTTGTATATGATCTTTTAGTCATAAATATGTAACCGGTTACAATGTAATTTTTTATATAAGAAAAATTTATGAAGTGGAATGTATATCCCAGAGAAACTCCAAGCACAATGATCAACAGTAGAGTTTAATTGGGAGAACAATATCTCTGCTTCTGTCAGAACTCCACATTATGTTCTATAAATAAATAAACACAAATAGAAGCAAGTAAATAACGCAAAATGTTCTTTAGTGAATTTTATAATGTGTCTACACATTTTTGCATTCAGCAGGCAAAATTTGAAAAAAATCGTGAGCCATATTATTTATGAAAAATATGTATTTTCTATTATTACAAACCTTTAGGATGCATAATGTACTTACCTAATAATATACTGGTCAAAGTGTTTATCGAGGTGTTTATTTATTTATTTCTAGAACGATAACGATAATATTAATAAATAAAAATTCACCCAACCTCAATGTGCAAATTCATTTGGTAACACTGTTTACTCTGAAATAAAAACAAAAATTCTCACTAAACTTAATCATTTCTTACTAGTAAAATATATTGGGCAAAATAAATTAAAAAGTTTAATGGGCCCGTTCACTTTCATTTTTGAATGTGAATTAATTATATACTTATAAAGATATTAAACTCTTTTGTCTGGTGGTACTTTTCCTGTTAAGATATTTTTGCTAGAAGTAAGGGAATTCCCATAAAATTCTTTCAGTGACTCATTGCGTCAGAAAACCCCTAATTCCCTTCTGGGGACCTATTTTCAAACCGTGTGAGTACTCATTTCTCTCAAGATTCTCATCAGAAATGTCATACGTCAATGTGGAAACGCTGTTTTTAAAGGCCTCGAGGATTAAAAATCTTAGGAGGATATTAATTATCTCTAAATAAACCGTGAGAAACAATCAGTGAGTTCACACTGGCCCTTAGGACCCTAAACATTACTGTTTTACGTTGACGTATGACATTTCTCTCGAGAGAAATGAATTCTCTCGACTTTGAAAATAGCCCCCCAGGTCTCGTATCGGTTAATAGTTAAAAGGGCGCGGTTGTCGGATGTATCATTGCACCACCATTCCTCTTCTGCATTTATTAAAGAAATTTACATGATAAAAATATATTATTTTTTAAAAATAATGTGTTTATATTTTCAGATAAAGCTGGAAGCCTTACCTTTTTTAAATTTTAATAAAAACAATTAGTATTACTCAAGCTGAATATTACCAGATCGAAATTTTATTTGAGAAAATGTATCTGGTAAACGTGACAACGTTGTAAGTACTTCTAAATAGTGTTGTCTACACACACTTCTAGAAATAAATGCAACGTTGCCACGTTTACCAGATAGGTAAATATTGCAAATCAAATTTCTACTTTTTGATTATGGTCTGGTTAATTTTCAGCCTGAGTAATAATAATTGTTTTAATTAAAAAGTAAAAAATAAGCTCCCAGCTTTAAATCTGAAAATATAAGTTCATGATTTTTATAAAAATAATGGAATTTTACTATTTAAATTACATATATAAATGCAGAAATGCTATATTAGGGATACTTCCGACAACCCCGCCGTCTTTAAGTATAACCGATATGAGACGTGAACGGAATTAGGGATTTTCTGACGCAATGAGTCACTGAAAGAATTTTATGGGAATTCCCTTACTTCTAGCAAAAATATCTTAACGGGAAAAGTACCACCAGACAAAAGAGTTTAATATCTTTATAAATATATAATTAATTCACATTCAAAAATGAAAGTGAACGGGCCCATTACATTTTGCCATGAGACAATGAAGATAGTAATTGGTTTTCGATGACAAGCATGGGATATTGCACTCCCCACTCAGCCACATATTATTTTGTAGTATCCTGTGCTTGCCTCAAATTGTATGTTTCTGTTACAATCAAAAGAAGACTGTAAATAATTAAGACAATGTATCAAGTGTGAGACCTGTGGGAAGAATAACACTCACCAAGTTTTGTTTCAAACCACATTAAAGAATTAGACAATTCCCTATTAAAACCATACATGTTACTAGCAGTTCTCAAATAGTTGGGACCTGTAGTTCCCACTAAAACTTCAGAAGAATTTTATTTATGTGGGGTGGGATATTATCCCAGAGACACTTAAAGGGTAACATAATTTATGTAGCATGTAGGACAAAAAATTACTGAGGTATATAAAGAGACTACTAATTAATAATCTCTTGCAGGTATGGAGCACCCAAACCTCTATTTATCAATCTCATACGGAAACCTTTAGATAGATTCATATCTTATTACTATTTCCTGCGTTATGGGGATAACTACAGACCATACCTAGTGAGGAAAAAAGCTGGGAATACTATGGTAATGTTTCCTTAAATAATTTGCAAACGTTTTATTAAAAAAAAAAAATTGTTTTTTAGACTTTTGATGAATGCGTTTTAAAACAATTGCCTGATTGTGATCCAAACAACATGTGGCTGCAAATTCCATTTTTTTGTGGACATTCTGCTAACTGTTGGTAAGATTTTACATATTTATAGTACTACTGCTACATTTGAATTTTACCTCCTGAAGCAGAGCGAGTAGATTTTTTGGTCATGTGATCATCAGCATACCATATCAATGGAGCAAATGGAGTTTGTATAAATGAAAAGAACAGTATTGAGTAAAAAAAGCAAACTGAGGTACTTTTCAAACATAGCACTAGTTGACAAATCTTAATTGCATTGTAACTTTATGATACTTATAAAATAGTTCAGTTCTGATTAATTTTTGACGTTAGAACACTGTCACTTGTCAAATTTAGATGTGTTGCAATTATTTTTATTAATTTTCCAAATTAATATTTGTTTTTAAACTGTTTTCTGCCTAACATTAGCATTAATAGAGAGTATTTTGCATTGATTCTACACTGTCAGTTGTCAGCTTTCCAACGAGTTCAACTTTTTGACATTTCTAGGCTAACAATTGCCAAATTCGTATATTTTTAAATTAAACAGGAAACAAATAGAATGACCCTCTTTTTTTAAATAAACCGTTTTGTCTAATTTAGGAAACCTGGGAACAAATGGGCCCTCACCGAGGCCAAAAAGAATCTCGTGAACAATTATTTCTTGGTAGGAGTGACGGAAGAATTAGAGGATTTCGTACAAATACTCGAAAAATCCCTTCCTCGATTCTTCAAAGGTGCTACTGAGTACTTTCAGCACAGCAATAAGGCCCACCTGAGGCAGACGGTTCAAAAAGAGCTTCCGAAAGAAACGACTATGGACAAAATCAAAAGTAGCACTGTGTGGCAAATGGAAAACGAATTTTACGAGTTTGCTCTCGATCAATTTCATTTCGTGAAGAAGGTTATTGCTCGAAACAAAGGGCAGAACGTCATGTACGAGAAAATCAGGCCCAAGTCTTAAAACTTTTTTCTTGTATTATATTAAACGAATGTGATCTGATATTTTATATACTTATTTCAAGACTGGATTTAGCAATATGTAATATATTAACCTGTTACTAATCATATTTGTCTTATTTTGAAAATTGGTAATAATTTTTTCACAGAGTTTATTTGAATTATTTTCGAAAATTAGCTGCAGAAAATCAATGTAAAAGACATGTTAACTATGGGCTGGTTCCTCACGGCATGAAGTGAATTTCCTATATTTTTAATTCGATACTGTAATTTGAAGATTATTGTTACCTATAACTACTGATATTGGTTATATTACTCAATAGGATAAAATCCCTAGATAAATGATAAAAACAAGGTACACGGAAAAAAAATTCGTGTTGGACTCTTGCAGAATTACAATGTAAAAGGCCTATCAATAAAAAAAAGCAATGTTGCCAGTTGCAATTATAGACAAGAATATCTGTAAAATAGGTTTAAACACGTTCTGACCTCAACAGTTATGTGCTCTTCTTTGCTTGTCAATATGAAGACTAGTCTCTCCAGTCTTCATACTTGTCAACCAGACTACATACTAACAAGGAGGAATGTTTTCAAAAAAATTCTCACTTCGCGTGGTATTTGGAGAGATTATTTAATAAATGAAGAAGGTTATCCATCTTAAATAATATAAACATAACTTTTATAAGCAGCATTTGCTTTGTTTTCGTAAGATGAAATCGAAAGTGACGTCTACTTTTTATTTACAATGTATATTTGAACAACTAAAACGATTTTTGGTCTACTTTTTCTCACCTTTTTGACAAACTTCACTTCTCTGCACTGCACCATTCATCAGTGTTTTCAGAGTGTGTTTTGATTGGCGTGTTGAAAAAAAAAAGAGAATTGTCATTGATTAAATAATTCATTTCTTATTTAATTATTAAAAAAGTACTATCCTGAGTGGAATGTGGAAGAGCAAACCTCTTTTAAAAAGATAATAATCATCTATCATAAATATGTACAGTTCATTTCTGTTTATATAGACATAACTTTTTTTTATATTGGTTTATTATGAATTGTTCCTGATTGGAAGTTTAAAGTCTATTTTTACATTCTGATAATTTGTATTAATTAAAGGCTGTATGTCACGATACTAAATTTAGAACTAAATTAATGCATTTTTTAAGTACTAAAAAAATTCACGTTGCGAACAGCAAATTTAGTACTAAATTTAGTACTAAAAAAAGTCATTAATTAATTAGATCTTTTTCTATTTTCTACTAAATTTAGTACTAAAAGTGAGCCGAAATGTTGCGCAGAAGTTTTTCATAGAAAAAGTTGACACGACGGTATTTTCTGTACCCTTTTATTTTTAATTAGCGACAATTTTACATTATTGCCTTGAATAAACTTCGCTTGTTTGATTTTGTAGGTTTTTTTCGTGGTTTTTATGCTGTATTTGGTTCTTGTCAAGTCAACTAGTGTCAAATTGATAACAAAAACACCATTTACTTGTCTGTTTTACACAGAATATTTAATTTCTCTGTTAATTTCACGTATTAATACGTCAATGCGCGTGCGCCTATAGTAAATTTAGTACTGAAAATTGGTATCGTTGCGAACGGGAAAAAATATTTTTAGTTCTAAATTTAGTACTAAATTAATAACTTAATTTAGTGCTAAATTTAGTACTTAATTTAGTATCGTGACATACAGCCTTAAGAGATCCCCTCTTAAAAAAATTATATATTTTAACATTATGAGCACTTGGCAACGTCGCTATTATTTTGACATATTCGTTATTCTTCATTTCATATCAAAAGCCAAACTTCAGAGAGTATAGAGAAAATGTAAACATAACATAAGCAAAGAAAAAGTATTCTTTCAAAAATACCTAGTAATAACTATTTTACGCAATTGCATAATTTTATAAATATAAAAATGGATAAAACCCAACTTTCAGCGGTACTCCAAGTACTGAAAAAATACAATTTAAAGGTAAACTAACCTAAACATAATGTTAACATGTTTTATAAAATATACTTATAGGGTACGGAAGAAATCTTACGAAAAGAAGCAAACATCGCAGACAATATAGATTCCGAAGCTTTAAATCAAGATACAGACGTTAACAGCGTTCTATCAGGCTACAAAAGCGATGGTGATCCAGAGGCCTATGATGCTGCTTATTCAGACCTAAAGAGGTTTGTGGAGAGCTCCTTGGACATCTACAAACATGAATTAGGAGCTATACTATTCCCCGTTTTAGTCCACATGTATTTAGAATTAGTTTATAACGATCACCCCAACAAGGCTATTGAATTAATGAAAAAATTTGGCCCGGAACAAGATTACTATTATCAAGAAGACTTAAGGAAATTAGCGATGATCATTAAGAAGGAGCACATGAATGGAAATGAGATTGCAGAAACTTTTAAATCTAATCAGTTTGTTATCAGGATATCTAGAGATACATTGAGTTTGTTAAAGAGGCATTTAAATGAAAAAAAAAGCTCTATTTTGTTAAATATCATTCAGGATCATTTGTATTTTGATATGTATGAAGGGGTTGCTAGGAATAAGAGTCAGATTGATGCCACTGCTGGTTCAATTGGGGGTGAAATATCCAGATGTAAGTATACTTGGTAAGAATATTTTATCTATAAAAAGTGTAATACTAGTTAGTTTAATTTGAAAAATTATTTTAAACTTTTATAACATCAAAATTATGGAACCTGCTGTAGAGGTGCATATTTTTATAATGCATTAATTATTTTGGGACCATTCTAAATGCTATTACAACAATTAAGTGGTAGTTCTAATGTCCTTCAAGTGTCAGTCAACTTTCTATTCAACTTATATACAAGTAAGGAGTAAATGCAACTAGCCCCATGATACGGTCAAGCCTGACAACTATTGGCCAGCCCAGTGCTGCCATTTTGAATGTTCAATGTGATATGGTCATGGGGCTAGTTGTGTATGCTTTACTTGCATTTAAGTTGAATAGAGTTTAAGTATTAAAATGACTTTTTTCTATATAATCTAGATTTTCCCAAAACTGTCCCCTCTAGCACCTCTCTAGGTATTCTTTATTAAATTTTGATATTTTAGTGATTAATTATAAGCATTTCAAGTTTGCTTAAGATAATCTAGTCTAGTGCTTCTTAAAATTCTATTAAGCTTGTCAAGTTTTTAAAACTGACATTTCAATAACGCCAGTTGTCACATTTTGACATTTTAAATAGCTGATTGCATAATTTTGATGTATATGTAGTCATTTGTCAAAGTTTGACATTTTAAACAGAAGCTTATGTAATTTTGAATTCTCAATTGTCAAATTTTAAGTTGATAGCTGTGTAATTTTCATGTTTTTCAACTCTGTCAAATTTTGACATTTTAAATCGATGCTTGCATTAGTTTGGTTGCGAACTTTCAGATGGCAAATTCTGCTGTTTTTGAATTTATTTTCAGATGTCAAATTTTGCCGTTTTTAAATTTATTTGTCAAATTTTGACATTTTAATCATTGCTTTCCTTTATCAGATTGTGAACTATCAGATGTCAGATTCTATTAATGTTTTTGAACTGTCATTTGTCAAATTTTAAATTCGAGGCTTGTATATTTTTGTTTTTGAACTGTAATTAGTTAAATTTTGACATTTTAAATCGATGCTTACCTTAATTTGGTTGAAAACTTTCAGATGTCAAATTCTGATGTTTTTGAAGTAGCATTTGTCAAATTTGACATAATTTATATCGGCGACCTTTTATGTTTTTGAACTGTCATTTCGTCGTAAATCTCAAACTGACGTATCTCAAAAAAATGCAGTTTTTGAGATACAACTGTAGAAACACTTTATTTTTATATATCTTCCTTCTCACAGAGTGGTGTAACTCAAGCTGTAACCATTACATACTAATAGAAATTTCCGTGTGGGATGTATCTCCTTACTCAAACGCAGCAAAAAACTTTAAATTGCTCTCCTGTAAAATTAGGAAAAATGAGATAGGTCTCTTTGTGAGATTGATGTCGATTTGTCAAAGTTTGACATTTTAAATTGAATCATGTGTAATTTTGAAGTATTTGAACTGTCATTTGTCATAGTTTGACATAAATCGACTCATGTGTAATTTTGATGTATTTGAACTGTTATTTATTTAATTTTAAATTGGAGGCTCTGTAATTTTGATGTTTTTGAACTGCAATTTGTCATGTTTTGACATTTTAAATAGCTGCTTGCATTAATTTGATGGTTTCGAACTGTCAGATGTCAAATTTTAATATCTTAAATTGTCCACATGTAGATAATAAAACGAAGGTGTATTATGGGATACCAAAGGGTCCAGATCCAGCAACCATAGCTGCACCAATAGAAGACGAGGAAGGTGAAGGAGGTGATCAGGACAATCCCGACAAACCTAAGAAGAAAAAAGCCAAAAAGGACCCTATGTTTTCTAAGAAAACAAAGTCAGATCCTAACGCCCCTCCTCCAGATCGAATACCTGCTCCGGAATGGTAAAAATTTCCTAATTTTGTAAACGATTTTTGAATATAATAAGTTTTGTTGTGTAGGAAAGATAATGATAGGGCTGAAAAATTCAAGGCTTGCAGGGAAGCATCTAAGAGAGTGACATTAGGACCTGATTCTCTGCCATCTTGTTGCTGTTACACCCTACTAAACGCTAATTATACGTAAGTACTGTAAAAAAATGCGTTATCCTTTCAAAACAATTAATATTGTGTTTAATAACTTTTATTTACTTTAAAGTTGTTTTATAAACACTTGAACTGTTCGAAAGTAAGCATTCTGAGATTATAAACCTATAACTGTTATGCGTTTGACAGCATATTTGTATATATCGATAATAATTTCAAGTTTGTTGTTTAATTGATAACAAATATATAAATAACATTTTGTTAGAGTTTGCTGTGCTGAAATAACGGAAGATTCCAGTATGGTAGCGGTAGGTTTTAATGATTCGATAGTAAAAGTTTGGACTCTAGTACCCCAAAAGTTGAAGTCCATGAAGAGCTCTGAGCAGTTAGAAGACGTCAACATTGAAGCTGACGACGTTTTGGTAAGAAAAAGAAAATACGTTTGTATTTAAAAAACAAATATTTAGAAAGAAATGATTAAAAGTTTATCAGTATTTTTAGCTGCCAAATTTACTGACAAGTGACATCAAATGACAAAATATTTACTGACAAGTGACAACCATTGTCAAATTCAAGTGACAATAAATTTAGACTGATTTCTTTTGTCTGATGTAACTAATTTGATAACCAGACATTTAAACTAGTATTATTCAAGTGTGGTTGTAGAATGTTTAATTGTAATTTCAGGTCCGTATGATGGACGAACGTTCTGGAGAAACTTGCCGCACTCTTTGTGGACACGGCGGTCCCGTATATTCTGTCTCCTTCTCTCCAGATCGTACACTTCTACTCAGCTGTTCTGAGGACTCTACGATCAGATTGTGGAGCCTACAAATATGGACTTGTCTAGTCGTGTACAAGGGACACATGTTTCCTGTGTGGGACGTCAAGTTTTCGCCGTTGGGGTACTATTTTGCATCCGCTTCGTATGATAGAACTGCGAGATTATGGGCCACGGACCATTATCAGCCCTTGAGATTGTTTGCTGGGCATTTTTCCGACGTTGATGTAAGCTGAACATAATTTTGTCTGATCTTTACGCATTAAAAACGTTTTATTCGTGTTTTAAACAGTGTATCCAATTCCATCCGAATTCTAACTACGTGGCGACGGGTTCCAGCGACAGACGAGTATGTTTATGGGACTGCACCACCGGCAATCACGTACGGATCATGACAGGACACAAATTGCCCATCCATTCTTTAGCGTTCAGCATCGACGGTAGATATTTAGCGTCAGCAGGAGCCGATTGTAAGGTTTTAATATGGGACTTGTCTCATGGTCATTTGGTAGCTGAAATGACTGGACATAGTAAAACGATACATTGCCTGTCATTCAGCAGATGTGGCAACATCTTGGTTTCAGGTAAGTTTTTTTGTGGAGTGTGTAGAGTATGGGGATGCACATCATTAAATAAACATCGATGTTAACATCGCAATAGGCAATTGATTATAAACATCAATTGATTTGAAAAAACAACTGTACAATTATTCAATCAATGTTGAAAAACATCGATTGAACTTAACCATTCCATTGTTGAGTATAGAACTCTTCTGATCATCTAGATGCTCCTACAATACTTAAGTGGTAGTTTCGTCATTCTATCCTTCAAATGTCATTTTAAGTATTCAAATGACTTCTTTTCTATATAATCTAGATTCTCCCAATGTCCTTCACCTCTAGTGCTGCTGTAGATATTCCTTAATAAATCTAGACATTTTTTAGAATATCTCATACTTCAAGTTTACTTTAGATAATCTAACAAATTGATTTTTAAATTTTAATGTCATTGACAAAAAGTGACATTCCAAATTGTCAGTTGTCAAATTTTGACATTTTAAATCACTACCTGTGTAATTTTGATGTTTTTGAACTGTCATTTGTCATGTCTTGACATTTTAAATTGCTCTGCCTTAATTTGGTGTTTTTGAACTGTTGATTGTCAAATTTTGGCATTTTATATCACAGATTTCATTAATTAAGGGTATGATCCGATATTAACCGACTACTCGCAAGTAACAAGGATTTTTTGATAGCAGTTCTTGAAAAAACTAATTTCTTAGTTACATTTGGACCACGGTCGAGATTTACGTCACTTTTGTGACAGATTGACATTCGACTTAATGTAACCGTAAAAATATAGCGGTTAGTGAATTGACGTTAAGTCACCTGAAAATAGGTAACCGCATCCCTAATTTAACCGATTTTTCAGGATAACAGTTAATTTTACCCTTAAATTGCTCACTGCCTCAATTTGCTGTTTTGAACTGTTGATTGTCAAATTTTAACATTTTAAATCGCAGCTTTCATTAATTTTAATGAAAAAAAATCTAAATTCCACGATAACACTATATATCTTTTTTTAGGTGGTTTGGACTGTTCATTAAAAATTTGGGATTTCAGTAAGCTGATAGAAGAAAATAATTCGGAAGAGGTGAACGTTTCTCACAATCCGGACGTGAAATCTGGCGAGACGTACCTTCTGAGAAGTTTTGCCACAAAAAGTTCACCTCTCATCAGTTTGCACTTCACAAGAAGGAATTTATTGATAGCTGTTGCACTGTTTGATGGGGTGAACACGTAAATATATTATAGTTTATGAAATAAAAATTTGTATCTATTAGTATTCTTTATTTATCCGCTTTTTATTAAATCTTTATTACAGTGTTTATGGCTTTAAATGACATTTGACGTAATTGTCACAATTTTGACATATCGGTTTTGATATCAACAGAAAGAAAAACTCATCCTGTCAGAAAACCGTCTGAATATGTCTAAATGTACATTTCTGTTTAATATGAGGTCAATAAATCCCTCTAGCACATTTCTGTTTAATATGAGGTCAATAAATCCCTCTAACTCGGCTCGGTAAAAACGAATACCTTCTTCAGTACATGTTGTGAAAACCATTATGATAAAGTAGTGACAAAAAAAATAAAACATAAATTATTTATTTGATATTCATGTTAAAAATGCTTTAAAGGTTTTTTATGATAAACCATGTTTTAATTCTTTAGTATTGCAAACACATATACGTTCTTAACAGTCAGTTGAAAATCTTTTTTAATTGATTCAGAATAATAGAAAAACACTGGAATTAATTTCCTGAAAACTAATTGATTTTGAATATCCAAAAAGGCATAGAACACTAATATTTGACAATTAGTCGTTTTTAATCTATCATAAAGGTATAGAACATTAATATTTGACAGCAGACCGATCCAAATTTAAATTAATGGCATAGAACACAACAGATTGGGGCTAAATTGTTAAAAAAATTAATCGATCGTTATATATGAACTTCCGAAGTTTATCAGTATTAAAACATCAAAAAAGCATAGAAAACTAATATTTGACAGCTGATCGATCATGTTATCTACCCAGACAGCACACCAAATCCTTTGGATATCTACTGCACATCCCAATATCCACTGAATGTCCAGTCCATGGTGGATATCTATTTTATATCCATGATATGTAATTTAAAGACATGCAAATGTCCATAAATAATAGTAATTATATAGCAAATTATTAAAAAATTACGCCATTGTGGCTAATAGTACCGTTCAGATATTTAAAATTAATTTTTTTAAGGTGTATTCAATATCCCATGGACATCCACTAGATGTTATTTGATTTTGCTTACTAAGTATAGATAGCGATACCACTTTCGCATCTACTCATGCTTGACCCGCCGTAATTGAGTTCGATCGAAATTTGTGTCCTATTCAGACTCCATTAGAGACTGGAGTCGAGAATTTCCATTTATTGCTGAGGAGTCCTAATAAGGATGACTTTCTCCTTAGTGGGCAAAATCAAAGGCAGAGTGTTGAAAATAATTTTTATCCCTGCTATTTTCTTTCGACGTTATTCAATAATCATTGGTTTCTTATGAACCTCTACTAAAGATAAAATATGTTGCTGAATATCTTCTATATCCTGGGATATAGACGGACATTTGGTTGGATATTCATATTTAATATCCACAAAATATATTCTGTGGATATCTTGTATTTTCTGGAAGATACCCATTAGATATTTTGCTGGATATCCATTAGGATATCTTCTATATTCTGGATATAGACGGACATTTGGATATCCATATTAGATCCACGGAATATTTCTGATATCCTGTGGATATATTGGATATCCGCAAAAGATATTCTGTGGATATCTCTGGGATTTGGTGTTGCCTGGGTAAATAGTTTTTTGGAGAGTAGATAGGTGCTAAATTGTCAAAAAATTAACCGAACGTTGTGTATGAACTTCCGAAGGTTATGAGTATTAAAACTGTTATATCTTTAAAGTTGGCTTTATTTTCTTTCTCTATAATAAAAAATATACATATTTCCAAAAAAAAAGGTACATTATAAAAGCATATAAGAAAACTACATAGTTTCAATACTATAATACAAAAAAAAAATAACATTTTTATCCTATTTAAATTTTCAATAGACCTACCTCCGGCATCAATAGCATATAATATATTAAACATTTGAACGATATAGATTAAAAAGTTTTAGGTTATAAACAACAAAACATGATTAAAAAAAGTGCATAAGCTTATCACATTTTGGTTAGGAGCATATCGATTTTTTTATTGGTTACAAGATATTTGAACAATTATTATGCTAGTATTTCTTCTTTAAATCGTTAAATCTCCTTGTCAGGTCATCAAAATCGATGTCATCATCTTTGCCGGTTTCTTGAGGATCTTTTACATCTAGATTGGGCACGGACGGTAATTCTGGTAAGTCGTAGACTTTATCATTCATCTTTAACCTCGGAGCAGGCTTAGGTTTGTCATCGTTATTCTGAAAACATTAAAAGAACTGTCTACCATGTCGTTTGTGTTAATAAAATGTTTGTGGTATGATGTTTGTTGTTAACCTCACTTTATTATATGTTTTTATGAATTACTACTGTCAAAAGTTTCTTAATTCTAATTCATTTATATTACTGTAGAAAAAATAGTGTTTGTAACTATTGTATTTTCATGGAAATGTCATTCGTGAAAACGTACCACTTTGTGCACTAGTTGTATAAATAACTATTACTACAGTTATCACAACCAATGGTAATTAAATATTTAGTGTGGCCATTAAAGTCACATGTCTATCAAATACGTATGTCACTTAAATAGAGTAAAAAAGCTAATAATGTTCAAAAAAATGTTATTTGTAAGAAAATGTTGGTGAAGATGCATGATGTTAAGTGCTGGTTAGTCTAAAAATCATACCTCATCGAGATTATCGTCTAAGTTCGACTCTTTAGGGTTCTCCTAAAAGGAATACCAACTTAATAAACAATCAAAAAACTAAGTAAAATCAAGATGCAAAGCAAATATATAAAAGATAAGCAAGCAATACTTAATAATAAATGATAAAATAGCATCATAAAATGTCGAATCAATTACAATGTTCACAATTAATTATAAAATCATGCAGATGCTACATTTACTAATTTAAAATCTTTCATACTGTCAAATGTCAATGTGATTTTTGTAGTGGATTGGCATACAGGACGATAAAATCTAAATGCTATTGAGAACAGCAACTTTGAGTTGAAATACAGTATCAATATCTATCTAGCTTCATTAAAAGAACTGTATATTATTTTTATAAAAACTAATAGAATATTAGCACATTTTAAGCAGCTTAACTGTTTATTTAGTGAGATCAGAGCCATTGAATAAAAAAATTAGCTTGTGATGTGCCAGACCTGGTCAAAAGCTTTGCTAACAATATGGGTTTATTATTTTTAAAACTGGAATTGTGGGTAACAAAAGCTACATAAATCATAAACTAATTTATATCACTTGTTGACATTTGACATTTTGTCTGTCCACTAGTTGTTAGTTTCAATATAGAAGATGCACGTTTCCAATCAGTAAATATTTAATATAACTTTGTTTTTATTATGAATTTACCTTATCAGATTTCTCAGCATCAGATGATTGAGGGTCTGTTGGGTCATGCTGAAATATGACAATATTTTACTTGCCAATTTTAGCCAAACCATTATAGGACAACATAAATACATATAAACACATAATTATAATAGATAAATAATATCTCACGTAATTGTGAGAACCTAAAACCCAGATTAGTATCAGAAAAAGTTTTAATATATTCACAAAGGTTAATTTATTTTAAAAACATTTAATACTATTGAAAGTAATTTAATTATTATTTTACTACTACATAGTACCACTAAAACTTAAAAAGTTCCACACAACCCACCATTTTAAATAATTCATAAATATTAATCCAAATGGTAATTATTTATTTATTATCTCATGTTAGTTATTCAAACAGTCGGAGTAGTTAAATATTAATTGCAATTTTGTTTGAAATGTACTTTGTATTTACTAGTCCATTATATCAAATTACATAGGCAGACCAACCACCAAATGTTATGCAAGACTAAAAGAACATAATGCAATTACCTTTTTACTAAAATTCGGATAGAGATGCTTATAGGTGGGCAAATTATTCTCCTAGAAATAATATAAAACAATCTCAATGCCACAAAATAATACCACATTCACCAAATAATATATCAAGGTGCACTATAAAAAAGCATATTTGCAACAATAAAATCTACTGCTAAAAGTGTAGTATTTAAATAAAAAATTTATTGAGAAATTTAAGATTAGAAGCAAATAAAACCAAAAATAAGCAAATAAAAATAAGTTCTTCAAAAAATCCTATTCTACTTTAACTAAAGTACTTAATCAGTTATTGTGATACTTACAATTCCATCGTTGTTAAAATCAACATTAGGTGGAATGTTGTAAGAAAATGCTGCCGGAGGTGTAGGTGGGGCTGTTGGATCAACGTTGAGTTCTTTTCCTTTGGGGGGCTAAATATTTGTAATAAAAAAATTGTTGATTCAAAAATATAAACTACATTGATATACAAATGATATCTATATCCAGAATGGTAATTTTTTAATAACATAGTTTAATCTTTAATAAATAATGATTTTGAATTTTTTTAATTATATTTACTTAAATATCAAGTCTCTGTTTCATTTCCTTTTAAAATTAAAGCTTATAGAAAGCAACCATATCAAAATAGCCATTTTTAAACAATGTATTAATTTTGTAAACTAATATTTTTGTGTGGATAAATATAAATATGAAAAATCCACTTACTGGATAACCAAATGGTACAGGATTACCCATTGCTGGTAATGGTGGAGGGGCTGGATATCCAAAGAATCCAGGAGGTTGGGGCATTCCTCCTCCACCACCACCTCCCAAATTATTGGAAGACAAATCTATTAACATGGCGTCATTTCCTACAAAAATAGTATAAAATGTATTTCTATATATTTAATTTTCATAACATTTCAAACCTTTTTCCATAGCCATAACTTGCGGATCAGGCTCATAAGCTACATTATAACATTTAGCAATTTCAATCATATATTTTTCTACCAGCAGCTTTGGAGGGGCATGAATGGACAATTTGTGTTTCAATTTTGCACTTACAGCCTCTATAGATTCAATTCTACATGCCTCTGCATACTGTGGGCCATATTTCGTTGCTAAGAGGTCAGCAATAACTTTTATTTCCTAAAATTCATCAAAGTAGATAATTTCTTCTCTTTCAAGTATAATCTTTGAAACATAATAAATAGACTTCAATCTCAATAATATTTACTGATGATAAAATATATTGCTTCAACCTTCATACTTTTATTGGATGATGAGTCATAGTTTAATAAAATTCTAATATATTATATAAATACCTGTATATCAGCCATGAGACGTGGGGCTACCCAAATGAGGCTAGCGACAGCTTCTGATATACCTTCATCCAACTCTTTCATATTAGAAATCAATCCAAATCTAGCTAGAAGCAGATCACAATACATTTCTACAACTTCTAGTGCTTCTACCATATAATCCTCTCTAAATTAAAAAAAATGTATCGTTTATAAGAATATTCATAAAATTATTTAATAATCATTACCTTATTATATATTCTACCCTTATTTTAGCCCTTTCAGTTTTACCAGCAGCTATGTAATCAGCTATTTCTTTTCTAGCCTTTTCTGTGAGTTCCGTTTTCTTTTTCATGAGCAATTTAAGCCTCGACATTGCCAATCGAAGATTTGTCTTCAGTTTGGGATAATTTGGACCGCTAGAAAACATTTTTGAAGTTACTTTTTACTTTATATTCACTATTTTAATTTTATTTTCGTTTATTTTTATTAGAATGAATCACCTGACACCTGACGTCTGACGTTTGTTTAAACGTAAACGTCACTGTCAAACAAAGTTGCCATTGATAGGAAAATTTTCCTATATCTGGAGATTTTCTGTAATCAGTAGGAAAATTTAAATTTTCTATAATAATTTAAAGGGAATTTTAAGCTTTGATTTTGTTATATTTGTAAAAAAACTATATACCAAGTCCGATTAACTATTAGCAGCTCAGAGTCTCAGACAGGTCGAATTTAGTATAAACGTGCTACCAAAATGTGAACAAAGACAAAGAGAAGCTTGATAATTAAGTAAATGCCCAGACCTAGGCTCTATAGTATTTTTTCTACGCCCATGTCAGTAAACGTTAAAAATCGCACTATCAACATTCCTTGTAAATGACATTTAACAATAACATGCACATAATAAGATCTCATAACATACACGTGCGTTTTGATAAGAAAACTTAAATTTCTTGGTTTAATCAAATTGCAATCAAATTTTTGTCTACGTACGACTTTATTTTGTCTATTTACAATTTAGTCATTTAAAAAACATAAAAACTTTTAGCATTAGCGAGATACATTTTGGATTAAAAAGAGTGAATGTCTGCTACATATTATACAATATTTCAAAAAATATGTCGCGTTTTCTTAGCATGCTATGGAAATAAACGTCATGCCATTTATATTGTCAATTTTTGTCACAAAATATGATTGTATATCCGAACATTTTCTTAACTTTACCTACGAATATGTTTGTTAGCAGTGGAAAGTAATGAAATTATGAGCAGTGCACCTAAGATTTTAGAAAAAGCTCAAGCTGCCACACATAATTTGTTACCGCTAAAATCCAAAGAAAGGTACGAAATTATTTTTCTATGAAATTACCTATCGAAAATGTATGGATTGGCGACACAAGCATAACGTTAAATCCTTTTTTTGAGAATGTTTTATGTGGGCGTAGAAAAAGTATAGTACGTTACACGAGTTGTAAGCCCATTATACGCACTCGTGAAATTTACTTTTTCACTTCGTGCGTAATGGGTTACTTACAACTCTTGTTACGTAATATACTATTACAGGAAATCACACAAGGGGAATGGTATTCTACATACTAAAAATATTACAAAAAACAACGGTTTCTATTTCAAAATTGGTATACAGACTTAAACAACCAAATTTACGACAATTAATACCAAAAATTAACATCGATGTATTATTATTATGTGCTAATTTTTATAATTTTTTATTTTGAATCCAAATTCAATTTTTTTTTATAATAGGTACTCGAGTTTATTTTCTGTCATGTTTAGGGTTGCCAGATTTCCGAAAGTGAAAAGCGTTACAACCGTGACGACAGAGCATTAGATTTAAATACCAAGCATTTTTATATAATCAGGTCCTTTCTTTTGTGAAATTTCTAAAAAAAAAGGTCCTCACCTTATATTTCGTAAAAAAGAGGGTCCTTTACCCGCAGCCCGCAGATTTGTCTATTTTTGTATTAAAGTGCGGCATTTGCATTAAAAGAGTGGCATTTTTGTCAAAAACGTGGCTTTTTCGTACTGTGTGGCGTTTCGCGCAAGTCAAAAAGCGTGGCTTTTTCTTACTGTGTCGTTGCGCGCAAGTCAAAAAGCGTGGCAAATACGCGTGACGTCTGGCACAACCCTAGTCATGTTGCATTTGTTGAACAAAAAAAATGAACCATAAGTAGCTTCATTTTTATTTGGAGAAAAAATATTATTAAAAAGGGATATGTTTTATTTTTAAGTATCTATGGGGTCTATTCTGTAACAATTCCTTTATATTTTAACGGCCTCAAAAATTGCATCTAGTGGATATCCACGATGGTTTGCGTTCGCGCCTAGACTTTGATTATTTAGTGGATGTCCATGGGATATTGAATACACCATAAAAAAATTAATTTTAAATATCTGAACGGTACTATTAGCCACAATGGCGATCACAATGGCGTAATTTTTTAATAATTTTCTATATAATTACTATTATTTATGGACATTTGCATGTCTATAAATTACATCTCATGGATATAAAATAGATATCCACCATGGACTGGACATTTAGTGGATATTGGGATGTTCAGTAGATATCCAAAGGATTTGGTGTGCTGTCTGGGGACAAGTAATTTAGTAAATACAAAAATATTTTTAAGGGCCTCCAATATTTTAACGGCCGTTAAAATATAAAGAAATTGTTACAGAATAGACTCCTTTTTCTTTTATTTCCACATTAAAGATCTGGGGAAAAACTGGGAAATTTTAAGAAATTATCTAGGGAAATAAAAATTTTAGACCTGGCAACACTGCTGTCAAATGGTAAATATAAATTTTCCTGTAATAATTTTTACTGGAAAAATATAAAAAAAAAATTGTTCTATTTGAACATATTTTACATGACAATAAATTGATTTATATTCTAATAATTATATTATTTGATTTTGATGATATTAGTGTTTAATTTATAAATAACTGTACAACTTAAGTAGTTTTTGAAAAAGAAGATTTTGGTCTTTGACAATTCTGACATTTAAACAAATATTGTTAAACAACATTGACACCAAAACATTATTTTGCCAACATTGCAGACAATTATTTGTATTTGTGCTTTAATTAATGTAAACCTGAGTGAAAGTACTCTAGAAATATTTAATCAAATGTAATGACTACCTCTAGGGTAATACGTGGCACTAGGGCCAAAGTATTCTTGTACGTTTGTGCTATTTTGATTATAGTAGGAATAATAGCATGTTATAATAATACCCTTTCTCAATTAGAGGAAGTTAAAAAATCTAACGACATATGCCACCAACAAGAAGAGAATTTATCCACACAGTTGCAAGGTAAAGTTACGATAAATAGCTAAAACATTTAAACAAAATACTTGTTTTATCCCTCACATTTTTGGAGTAAAGGTTCTTTTAATCATTTTTAGTGATATCTGACTATAAACAAAGATTAGAAAAGAGTTTAAAGACAGAACAATTTGATCATCAACAGATAAAAGCTAATCTAGATAATCAGTTGAAAGAAGAGAGAAGCAAATATGAAAAAGATTCCAGCGACATGAAGTTAAAATTGGGGTCTTTGCAGCAACATTTCAATTTATTGCAGGTAATAAAGATTTTAAATTTGAAGGAATTAATTGATAAATATATGACTTCGATTTTCTTTCAAGGACGACTTCACTGAGTTCTGTTTATAAAAATGCGAGCCTTATTGTCAATGATATGATGAACAAGTTAATGTTCATTCTCTATTTTTTTAGACCCAATATGATGATTATAAAGAAGAAACTAGTAAAACCCAGAAACAAGAACAAGAAGAGATCAATAATTTGGAAGCCAGAATTAGTGAACTGCTTGAAGAGCAAAAGAAAATTAAATCTTCAAAAGATAATCTCAAGGTACATATCAGTATATTAAGTTAACATTTATTTAGTTTTTTTTTTTACATTTTAATAATGTTTTAAGGCTCAATGTGAGGTGATAGAACGTGATAAAGAACATTTGGAGCTGCAAATGCAAGAGCATCTAAATAAAAAAGATGATGAAAAAATAGGCCAATTGAAGAAAGAAAATGAGGAACTCAAATCAGAAATATCACGTTTAAAGGTAAATTTTTATCATTTCCTTAAAAAAAATTCATTCCATATTTTAAAATTAAGAAATCAATGTATATATATTTATCTAAATTTTCTTTAAATGTCAATTCTCTAACTCGTCTCATTATAAAATTAAAAGTTTTTGAAAGAAACCATGTCAAAATCTAGTTGAACTTAGTTTCATCTTCATCCAATTTCAAAATATATAGAAATATTAATATTTATGTTTCCAATAAATTGTCTTTAGGTGTTAACTCTCTAACTTGTCTAATTATGAAACCAATAATGTTTGAAAGGAACTAAGTCAAAATCGAGTTCAACTTAGTTTCATCTTTGACAATCTTTGATTTCAAAACGCACAAAAATATTAAAATTCTATTTTGAGAAATCAATATGTACATCATTATTACATCTAAATTGTCTTCAAATATCAATCCTCTAACTTGTCTTATTATAAAATTAGTAGATTTTTTAAGAAACCATGTCATAACCTAATAAACTTAGTTTCATCTTTGACTATTTCCAATATCAAAATGGATACAAATATTAAAGTTTTATTATCAGAAATAATTTTTTACATAAGTTATCTAAATTATCTTTAGATGTCAAGTCTCTAACTTGTCCATGTCAAAATCGAGTTCAACTTAGTTTAATCTCCGACTCTCATCAATTTCAAAACAGATACAATATTGAAATTTTCTTTTCAGTAATTAATGTGTACATAAATTTTCTATAAATATCATGTCTCTAACTTGTCTCATTATAAAATTATGAGTTTTTCGATGGAATCATGTGAAAAGCTAGTTAAACTTAGTTTTAGCTTTGACTATCTCAAATTTGAAAATCGATAAAAATATTAACATTTAGTTAGCAGAAATCAATTTGTACATGATTTATCTACATTTTCTTTCAATGGCAACTCTCTAACTCGTCTCCTTTTAAAATTAGAAGTTTTGAATGGAACCATGTCAAAATAAAGTAAAATTTAGTTTTATATTTAAATATCTTCAATTTCAAAATGGATACAAATTTTAAAACTCTGTTTTCAGAAATCAACTTCTACATCATTCATCTAAATTTTCTTCAAATTTCAAGTCTCTAACACGTCTCATTTTAAAATTAGGAGTTTTTCTAATTATCTTTAAATTGCTTGCCTTTTGTCTTATTAAAAAATAAGGAGTTTTTGAAAAAAATAATGTCCAAATATTGTTCAACTCTAGTGAATTTTGGAAATGCCGTATTTCAACAAGGGTAAAAATGACATTCTGTTTTTAAAAATCAATTTCTACATTTTTTATTCATATTTTTTCTCTGACTTAAAAATTTCGAGGGATACTTGTCAGAATTTTCAATTTTGAAAATTCCACAAATTTGCCACTTTTTAAAATTGAGAAAAATAAAATCATTACCATTCTAGGCAAAATGTGGTCCTGAAGACACTCTCCTGGAACCAAAAGAATCTCAGAATCAGAATCCATTAAACAAGGACAATAATCAAAACAATGATAAACAAGACCTCCCTGTTTTACCGGAACCAAACCAAGAGCCGTTCAAAATTCCCTCCTCAAGTAGTACCTCCTCGAATAAGGTTGGCCCCAAACCCTCCCAAGCCAGCTTGGGAGTGGCCAAACCGATATATAGACCCACAGCTACCCCCGAAACTGTGCCAAAAGATAATAATAAGTTACCAGACGGAGTCGTCGCCATCCCTGCAAAGAAAGAAGAAGAATTCGTAAATGCTCGGTATCAGAATGCCAAAGAGAGCGCTCAGAATGAGCAGAACCTAGCTCAGAAAGAACAGAACCAAGCTCAAAAACCTAAAGAAGGTAAGCTGTAGGTATTATGTAGTCCAAGTTAAGTTTTTATTATTTATTGTTCTTTGTTTTTGATTAAACGTTTTTATTTGTAAGTTTGATTTTTTTGTAAGAGATATAAATAACTCGTTATGGTTATGGTCAATGGGGCAATAACTTCTTTCACTGCGACCACATAGTGACTTATACCTAAAATAAATTCTCCTTACAATCGAAATCATCTAACGAAGGTCATGTTTGAGTTTGGCTGGACGTCTTTAAAGACGTTAAGCTCCGGTTTCATGAATCATAATGTTCAAGAACAGGGCAGCACAGTAATAATTTAATAAGTAACTTCTAAGTTTTTGAAATTTCCAAGTCTTTTTACAATTCTGACATTTCAGCATGTGTTTAGTGAGTAACTACTAAGTTTTTGGTGTGTTTAAGGCGAATTTCATGAGTAGCTTCGAGTTTCGTGTGTTTCATTGGTAATTTCTTACATTTTAAAGAAATTATATTGAACAACTTTTTAAGTATACTGTAATGAGTAACTTACAGTTTTCTGCACTAAATACTGGTTATTTCCGAATAATTAATAGTGAGTTCCGATCTCCGATTATTGTTTTAGCCAAAAACGATTCTGAAAAAGAAAACGGAGCGCACGAACAATTCGACGATCCTTTATTTCACGATGGGTTACAATTCAACGATAACGATCAAATGAAGCAGGGCGAAAAACCGAATTTAGACAAAAGACACATCGACACTATGGGGAAAGACAAAAAAATATACGATCAGGATCAGGGGGAATACAAGGAAATGAATGATGTTCAGCTTGAAGAGAATGATGACGGTAGGTTGATTTATTGATAAATTTTATGTTGGGGGGGGATCACAAGGTAAATTATTGTTTATGGCAGAAATAGTTGAAGCCGGTAAGGTTATATATGAAATACATTTTTTATCTGTGTCGTGTCTAACTCTCGTGGTTTTTGATATTCCTATGGATCTGTAAAAAATTGTTACGACTCCTTTTCTATGGGTTGAAAGAATTATTTATTATTATATGTAGGGTTAGTAATCTTTATAAAATAAAAATCCAATTAAAACAAGACAACTTTATTCATCGGTAAATAAATAATCAAGAGTCACAAAAATAAAATAGACAATTATACACAAAAGGTCCTTACCAAAACATTCTCAGGAGTGACACGTCAAGATGCTTTCTCCAAAACTAAAAGGTATCTGTCCTTCAGTTAACTCTCAGTACAGTCCAGTAATGGTAATCAGTGTCGAATTTCTACTTATTTTGCTGATTTTGCTTTCTCTTTACTTTGACCCAATTAATGCAGGTCATGTTATATTTAAACTTTTATATTTTTAATTTGAAATGTATACAATATTTACTTATATATATATTTACATTTAAAAGATTATTGAAGATTTTGTTTTTATTCTGGGATTTATTTTAAATGTAATAATTTATTTAATGTATTTTAACACGTTACCCGCCGGAACCTTTTTTTTAAGAACATTCTATTTAACGGAACGAGGTCTTAATGACCCCGTCATAAAATTTCCTATTTGGCTGACTTCAAATTTATAAAAACTTCTCTACCTGCTAAAATGATAATTTCGTTACTGTTTATAATTTTTAATGAAAATTGCACAGATTACCCAGATACGAAATCCGGCAAAACATCAACGGATTTTGACATGAGATTTCTATGACCTTGAACTTTAAATGGGTATGGCATAGGTGTTGCCAATTTTAATTATTTTCAATAATTCTTACTAACTATGACTTTCTTCTAATCATGCGTTTTAGATGTCAGGGTTGGTTTAAATAATTAATTTGTCGATGGAAGTTTCATTTTCAAACATTAATGAAACAAAAATGTTTTTTTTTTTTTTTTAATTAGATTGGTTTCAAAAGAAATCGCATACGATTTGTATTAATATTTTCAAAATTGTATTACTGTTAAACATTTATAACAAACAACAAGTTATAATATAATGTAATAAGTTTTGTGTCATATGCAGTGCTTTCGTTTCAAAACCAGACAGTCGAAATAACTTTTCATTTTACATAAATTTAAGAAAAACCAAAAACACTACCTTGTATTAGGAGGACGAATTGTCATATAAAATTCATACAACCCCCTATTTTTTTATATATAGCAAGAATGGTCAAGTAATACATCATTTGAAAGGTAATTTTATAGAGAATTCAACAGTATGACTACGCTAGTTCAGTGATAATGTAATTATGGTTCCACTGACAAAGTGACAGTAGATTTTTTGAGTGCGTTTGGTTCGTTTTGTTTACCTAAATTATATTGTTTTTTCACTTTTATAAATATATTCCTAAAGTAACTATATAACATGCATCAAATATACAATCGTTAGTTACCAATTACATACATTTAAACTATTTTTTATGACCTGTAAACAATATTTAGAAATAAACTAAAAGCAGTAAAAACGTAAATGTCAAATTTATTGATGTTTTTGTTAAAAGTTTGGTTAGAATTGAATGTCAGTGGAACCAAAATGGCATCACACTGAACTAGCTATTCGTTACGTTATTTTGATTTTAACGCCCTCTATTGGAATAAAAAACTGCTATGTATTGTGTTTACTAACAATTTCAATAGTGTCAAAGTATTTCGATTATATATTTTAATAGAGATAATATGGATTGGATCTGTTACGATTGTGGTAACTAATTTAAAAGTATCCGGTATCCGGATACTTAGAAATTTGGCTACGGATACCGGATACAAAATTTGAACAGTATCCGGATACAGCTTTCGGATACACATAAAGTATCCGGATACAGAAGTATCCGGACACTACCCAACTCTGATATAGACCACTTTGAGTATCATCGCTCTAGATAAAGAGTGAACAAGAATTTATCATTTCAGACTAGCCGTTTGCCCAACGTTAAAAAAAAAACTAAAAATGCAAGCCAGATAGCCCAGGAGCAATTGAAAAGGATTATCGGGACATAGAATTTGACCAACATATTAATTTGTAGCTTTATTCTAATTTTTCACAGGTAACCCCGTCCTGAACGCTTTATTGCTTGTGTTATCAGTTTAAACCTTGATTTAGAGTAAAATAGTGGCGATTTTTGATAAAGTTTCTGAAGTAAAAGTAACAATTTTGATAAATATACAATTCTGATAGAAAAATACTACAACTAGAGTTATTATTGACTAATTTTCGTATTACGGTAATTTTTCACACACTGAAATTATTTTGTTTTTGTTTTTAGACGATGCAGATGGATACGACGACCATTTAGCCAGGCAAAAGGAGCCCGCCGTTAGGAACTGACTAATTTAGTTAGTTTTTCAGCAATTCGAACAATTTTTATCGTTATTTGTGTCATATCATTAAGAATGTTTCTATTTGTGCAATAACTTACTGTGAGTTAGTTCTTGCCATTTGTTTACAAAAAAAAAAGAACAAAATTTTGTATATACTAGTTATGAAAATATGTTTAAAAAAATTGTAGCAATTTGTATTTTGGTAGAAATTTATTTTCTAAAGACTTTTTTTACCATATTTCGATTGGCTGTACTTAAACATTTCTCGAATGTTATTTAAAACAGATTTTGCTCATTAATATACACTCGTGGGTAAAATTTTACAATTTCCATATTTTTCCTGTTTCTTCATTGTTTTTATGATATTTTAGGCGTTCCGAATCTTATTCTGGTTCTTTTTTATCTACTTTTACCATTCCATCTTGTATTAGAATCTGTATTGTGACAAATACTTAAACATACCTATTTTTACTGGACTACAAAGAATATTCTATAATTTCATCCACGAGTGTAGATGATTTTCGATCAGAGGCCACAGTTGGCTCCCTGCGGAACATCTATTTTTACTATATTGTGTATATATCGATGTCCTTGTCGTTTTTTCGAATTCTACGTGTTGTTTATGATATCCTCATGGAGCATCTTTTTGTTTCCTTAATTTGAAACAGATTGTTTCAATGTGTTTTCGAATATTTTAATCTGGGGTCTGTACTGACTAAAATGAATTTGTATTTCGAATAAAAGTGTTATGGGTGTCGATATTATTATGGGGAATACCGGTGAAGTTGTTTCATTTCCATACTGTCTTGTGTACGGAGGGCGTTTGGAAAATAGTATTCGCAGCTCTAGTAGGATTGATTTTTTACAACGATTTTTTTTATATATATTTTTGGTTCCTTTCAAATAGGTTTATGTTAACTGTCTGTTTTTAATTTCTTTTTGAATAAAAACAAAAAAGTCTGTTGCTGTTGTTTTATATTGTTTTTTTTATACGTACTTCTGTATTATAATAATAAATGAATAAGATCGAAAAGTTGTTTTTATTTTATAATAAACCTCGTATTTCATGAGCGGTCTAAAATATCGATGGTTTGACGTTAGAGTGTGCAACAAGATATATTCCGACATCGAGGCATCTTTACTGGTCTAAGCTTAAAATTGAAGTGATTGTGTAGCAATAGATGAAAACCGACCCCGAGATATGTTGACCGTTTGAAAGCGGAGAGTGTCTGCGAAAAAAAAATGTATCGTTGTAGGTGGTGAGAGGTAACATCAGTTCTTGTGTGCGGAGAGCGTGTCCAACTGGCGTTCTTACATCATCGAGTTGAATTTTGCTAGAATTATTTTTAGTTCTATTGAGTGGGAAACAATTATTTCGATGCAAGATATAGAATATATAGCGGAATGCAGTTTGGATTTAGGTAGTACTGTTGTACCTAACGTTTATCACGTTTTGAAGAAAATATATTTAGCTTATTCTTTATCTAGAGCAAAATGAGATTTTTATTTGTAAGATGTTATGTTAGGTATGGGGTATTAATTAATACACTGGGACCTAAAAGTTCTATTGGGTCCGCTTCTGTCGCCAATGCAGCAAGGAAATAGTCTTGATGCCTATAATGACCCTTGCGAACCTATCTTCTCAAGGAAGTTTAGAATTTGGAGTGGCTTTAAGTTAGGTAGATCGCCCTTTTCTATTTTGTATGACTTTAAGTATATAGTGCCCTTGGATCCTGGAGTGCTTCACATTTATAGTCAGAATGTGAATGAATGTTTCGTCCTCTTCATCACAGAATCTGCAGTCATTGTCTTTTACTACTCTCTTTATCTTTGTCGGTTATAAGCAAGTAGGTTTGGCCCAGAACACTGCGGTCTCTTGGATCTATCATATTCCTCTGCTTTCCCCCTATTCAGGTAGTATCTTTGGAATAATCTTGTGTTCCCTACCAAGTGTTTTTGGGGAGTTCTTTCAGATTCTAGGTCGAAAAGGATGAGACGCCGCCTAGTAAGAGCTTTGCATTCGAAGATCACATGGTATGAGGTTTCTTCGTCTTCCATGAAGAGTCTACACATAGTCGGATCATTGTGTAATCCCATCACATTAAGGTATTTCAGCAAGCAGTGTCCCGTTAGTAATCCTACAATGGTGGATATCTGAGGCCTTGCGAGTTGTAGTGCCTCAGTAGACATGCGTGGGTTTGGTCCCCTTAGCACGAGCTTACTGATTTTGTGCTCTCTTATCTGTTATTAGTCCACTACTCTCAATTTACCAAGGTGTCCTTTGAGTCGAAAAATGCCTGGTAAGGATCCCTGTTATAATGTGTATACTGTTCTTGCTCAGACATCTACTATATTTGTGGATAGAAAATGTGCATTTTTTTAATGTGTTGGTGTGAACACAAAAGAGCGGCTTATTACAAAATGTTATATTTATATTTAAGATGCCAGAGAAAACCAATGGTCTAAAAGAAAGCATAAATTTGACCATCGCCCTAGGAAGAGACGCTTTAGATGTCCTTCAAACTATACCCGGGGAAGAAACAGACGATTTTAAACAACTTAAAAAGAGACTAAACATGCGATATGGCCACAAACTCTTGGAGCATTTGTATCAATCATAGCTAAAAAATCGCAAACATAAACGTGACGAAAACCCTTCAAGAATATAAAGTATATATTACCTACCAAGTTGGTTTGATTTGCCTACCCATCAGGAGTGCGTTTAGAAACCTCGCACGGCGCGTTTGACCACATACATTAGAATAGGGTCCAGACGCGCCGTGCGTGATTTCTAAACACACTCCTGTGCTCCGAAAAATATAATGTAATATTTGACAGTGCAAACATTTTTTGACAGACCCCGTGACCATAAAATGCAAAAAAACACTCCGTCTAACCCGTGGAATTTTGATCGGGGTTGGACACGACTGCTGAAGAAATTCCAGTACATCTTATAAACGCTAATGATCATCCAATTACCATCAAGAAAGAGACCAGAATTTTGATGGGGTTGAACACGACTGCTGAAGAAATTCCAGTACATCTTATAAACGCTAATGATCATCCAATTACCATCAAGAAAGAGACCAGAATTTTGATGGGGTTGAACACGACTGCTGAAGAAATTCCAGTACATCTTATAAACGTTAATGATCATCCAATTACCATCAAGAAAGAGACCAGAATCGGAATTGTGTACCAGTAACTTCCATAATTCGTCATACAACAACTTCTGATAATTCCAATGACCAATACGAGCAAATGATTGCAGTTGCTGGTCAATCTCTAAATCAATTAGAGAAAAAGAAAATAAAGGAATTTCTTTGACGATATATAGTGACATTTTTGTACCAAAAAGAAGAAAAACAGGAAGAACTTCGGTTGTAAAACATAAAATTGACACTGATGACGCCAGGCCGATTCGTCAATCAGCTCGAAGATTACCAAAGGCCAAGAGAGAGGAAGCTGAAAGGATTGTTCGGGAAATGAAGGAAGAGAGGTTGATAGAACCTTCTACCAGCCCATGGATCTTTCCGGTCCAGAAAAACGACGGAACTATGAGGTTTTGTGTGGATTACCATCAGTTGAACAATGTTACCAAGAAAGACAGTTATCCTCTGCTTCGAATCGGCGATACCTTGGATACATTGGCCGGAAGTAAACTATTTCTTACTTTAGACTTGAAGTCTGGATATTGGCAGGTAGAAATGGACCCATTAGATAAAGAGAAGACAGCTTTTACTACCGGATCTGGATTGTAGCAATTCAGTGTCATGTCATTTGGACTATGTAATGCCCCCGCTACATTTGAAAGACATGGAAAATATATTAAGAGAGTTATCCTGGAAAATATGCCTGGTGTATACAGACGACATCCTGGGGAATACATTTGATGAACATCTAAAGAACTTAGAAAATGTTTTTAAAAGACTTCAAGCTGCCCAATTGATGCCAAACCATAAAAAATGCCAGCTATTTCAAAATAAAGTTAATTACCTTGGTCATATAGTTAGCAAGGATGGCGTGGCTGTAGATAAGGAGAAAGTCGCTTCCATCAAACAATGGCCACAACCAATTGATAAACATCAAATAAGAAGTTTTCTTGGACTCTGTACGTAATACCATAGATTCATAAGGAAGTTTGCAGATATTACTAAGCCAAAGACATTACAACAATGTCTTTGTACTAAGCCATTAACACGACTCGCAGAAGAAGCGAGATAATTCTACTGGGACGAAGTTTGCCAAACTGCCTTTGACACATTAAAGAAGCATTTAATAAAAGCGCCAATACTAGGCTACCCACTGCCTGAAAGAGAATTTATTTTGAATACTGATGCCAGTAATGTGGGAATTAGAGGAGTGCTTTCACATATTTAAGGGGGGAAAGAAAGAGTATTGGGTTATTTTAGTAAAGTGCTCTCGAAACCTGAGCGAAGTTACTACGTCACGAGAAGAGAACTCCTGGCAGTTGTAAAGTGCATGTAACAGTTCTACCAGTACCTATATGGAAGGAAATTCTTAATCAGTACCGATTATGCTCTTAAGTGGCTGATGCAGTTCAAAAACCCGGAGGGTAAAATCGCTAGATGGATTTAACTACTTGAAGAGTACAACTTTAAGATCGAATATAGCGCCGGAATAAGCCACAGAAATGCCCATTCTCTTTCTAGAAGACTGTGCCCAGCAGAGTGCTCTCACTGCAACAGAGCAGAATCTAAAGAAAGTTAACTACTAAGAACAACTGTAGTCAACTATGAGTAGACCCCTGCCAAACTTAGGGAAGAACAAGAGAACAATGTTTTAAAGAAGATGTGACAATGGAGAGAGGAAAATTGACGACCTACTTGGCAATAAGTATCAAATGTCTCTCGAGTAGTTAAGTCAATTGGTCATTCCAAAGGCTAGAGTAGCTGAAGTGGTTCGTCAGTTACATGATAGTCCATCAGGAGGACATCTCGGTGGTAAGAAACCTCTTCAGAGAGTACGTGAAAGGTTTTATTGGATGAAGAGTTGCGATGGTGTAAGAAATGTACCTACCACCTGTGGATGGAAGTCTACGCCATTCCAAATCAAGATGCTGCAACTGTTGCAGACGTGTTAATAAAAGAATGTATCAGTAGAGTAGGAGTGCCCTTGGAGATCCAAAGTGATCAAGGCAGAAATTTTAAAAACAAGCTTTTCCGAGGAATCTGTGATAGAATAGACTAGACATGAAGAAAACCAGAACTACGGCATTACACCCACAGTCGGGTGGAATGGTGGAACAAATTTGTAAGACAATTTGCAAATACCTGACAAAAGTGGTTTCCAATCATCAACGAGATTGGGATCAGTATCTTTCGCTCTTAAAAAATGGCATATAGATCCGCTGTCAATGAATTTACAGGCCAAACACCAGCAAAGGTGCTGTTCGGGCGTGAGGTGATACTACCGTGTGACCTCGAGTTTGGATGCCTACCTGGAAAAGACATAGTCGGTGAAGATTATGTAATCCAGCTACGAAGAAAAATGGACGACATGCATGAATTAATTCGCTCGCATCTTCAAATCGCCAGTGACAGAAT